CATCCTCTAACTTTAAGAAATATAAGAGATCTATCTAAAAAATTACCGTTTCGGTTCTGTGTTTTTCCTGACTAAAATACGCAAAGGAGATCTTTTGGAGTAAAATATGATATACAAGATCACCCTACAAAAAATGAAAGACTGGGTCACATTTTAATGAATTTTTTAGCAAATTTACATGTATTATATGTATTTTTGTATAAATCAGAGATTTTTTTCATGGTCGGTATTTAAAATACTGTTAGTGCTTATCCAGGATATATAAAAAATTGTTAAAAAAAAACTACATTTTTTATTTTTATCTCTGAAAAATCAGTTTACTCAGTATAGGTAAATTCATATTTACTTGTACTGACTTAGGGTACTTGTTCATATCCACATTGTGAAACACGGGTCTTCAAACCTTTATGATATTTGAAAACCGGGTGGGGTTATACAATGATTAAACCCCAAGTAACATGGGTTTAAAAACCTTAAAGTATACATTTTTTGGGTTTTTCACAAAAAAAGCGCCCGAAAAAAATTAAGGGGTTTCTGGCCCAAAAGGTTTCTCATTTGAGCCCAAATTACCCCAAAATTTGTTTCCCTTTTTTAATCATCAAATAAACTTTTATTTTTGGATATTTTTATAAAATTCCCAAAAAAATTTAAATTAAGGGGGAAATTTTGCCTGAACCATTTTTCTTCCTTTTCCCAATTTAGAAATTTAATACAGTTAAAGTGATTTAGTATTTTTTAGGGAATTTAAACGCTACTTTTAAATTTGATCCCTTTTAATTTTTATATAGTATTCAGATTTAATACATGTACGCTATTAGTCTCATTCTAAATGTTTGAAATAAAATAATCGTAGCTTTTGCTTCAAAATACCATAACAGTTACAGGAAAAGTAAAAATTTAACCATGCATGTATACCACTGAAACCTAATTCCACCAAGTATAAAGTTTACATTTTCTTCAAGCAAGATTTTGTGTTATGAATATTGCATTTCTTTCAAATATTAAAACATAGGCCTGCCTTTGTTGATTTATCACTCTATGGCAGTAGATTGTATACTAGAGATTATGTCCTTCATTAAGAATCACATAGGAAACGACCTAATTAGCCTTATACCACTGAAATAAAGAATCCCTAAAGAACGTAAAAAGCGCAGGTTTGAAAATGTTGTTAGCTTGGTTTAACTGAGATTGTTTGTGGATGGTACAGGAAGGTTCAGGTTTCCATATTTTAAAGTATTGATATTGAAAGAGTCATAGACGGCAAATACTTTTGTGTCACTATTTTCACAGATCAAAGCTTAGATAAGCATAAAGTCAACTAATGAACATATACGCCAGCTGTGTCTTAAACACAGGAATAAAAGTGTGTATTTCTGTTCCAGCTGGAACCGTCGCAAAATAGATACAAAATTGAAATGGCTCAGCGTCGAAAACACGATGAGCAAATCAGAACTACTCTACATATACAGAAAGTTTTTACGGGCTGGTTACTCTATACCGTTACCCCCACCCCACCCCTTAATAAAATGAACCCCTTATAAATAGACAAACAATTTAGACATTTATACATCCTCATTCATAATCCAAAATATGCACCCCTTGTAATTATTATAAATATTCGATTTTCCAACTATTGTCACACTTTGAAACTCCCTCACATGTGAACTTGTGCAAGCCCAAACTTTAGACAATCTTAAGAAGGGTGTGAAAAACTTGGACACAAAGATTAACACGACATATCTGTCTATATGAATAATATATCTTATCAAGGGTTTGGGGTGAAGACCTGCAAAAAGGTAAGATGTTTCACATACATGTATATTAATTCATTTATATAACAATAATAATTTGTTATTTACAATGTAGCATTTGGTTAACTTAGAATCAGGGACTACAGATATCGAAAATCATTGAAAGTAATTAAATGCTGTAAAACAATGACACAATTGCCAATAAAAGATTTAATGGAGCTTTAGGGGGTTTGCCCTTTTCGCAAGCACAAATCATTGCTTCTAATTAGCCTATGTTTTAAACATACCACGAAATAAAAATGTACATGTGATTTATGACTATATAAAAATATACTTATCAAAGATAGATAGCCCAACAAATTGTTTGCCAGGGCTTTTTATAACATGTATGATGGTAAAGACCAACACTTATGTATTATCAGTTTGTAAAATCAGTTGGTCTTGCAGTCGAAATACTGAGACTACACCGAGGTTTAACATTTCCTACCTTCAATATTTAAATAAATGTTCCTTTTTCAAACACTAATTATCCAAAATTTAATTCAAAATAATCCAATAAACATAATTATCAATAAGTTATTCACGAAGCTTCTAGTTTTATTGTGGAGTCCTGTGCTACTATTGTTAAAATCTCATAAATAATAAGTTTCTTTGAGATATTTACCACTGTTTACCTTAAGTTCTGGGCAATATAAGACCAGATTTTTTGACAATATCCCCAAATTCTTTATTGAATGATGGTGAATGTCATGTATTTAAAGGCATAAGTAGGCCTACTTGTATACTTCTTGAACTCTTTAATATTTGGTTTTTGTACTTACACAATTCCACAATTATTTTATCATTTTATATCCTGAATTATTGACTCTGTAATCATATGTTCAAAACTCCTCCTATCCGAATTCCACTACAGTTTACAGGCGAACGATCTAATATTAACTGAGTAACAAAACCACTAAGTTTTCTATTTTGAAAGATAATAAGAAACGATTTTCCTACATTATTACAATTGATTATTTTCAACGGACATCCTACTTTAAGAAATATAGAGATCTATCTAAAAATTACCGTTTCGGTCTGTGTTTTTCTGACTAAAATACGCAAAGGAGATCTTTTGGAGTAAAATATGATATACAAGATCAACCCCTACAAAAAATGAAAGACTGGGTCACATTTTATGAATTTTTTAGCAAATTTACATGTATTATATGTATTTTTTGTATAAATCAGAGATTTTTTCATGGTCGGTATTTAAATACTGTTAGTGCTTATCCAGGATATATAAAAAAATGTTAAAATAAAACTACATTTTTTATTTTTATCTCTGAAAATCAGTTTACTCAGTATAGGTAAATTCATATTTACTTGTACTGACTTAGGTACTTGTTCATCCACATTGTGTACACCGGTCTTACTGACCTTACTGATATTTGAGACCGGTGCGTATATACAATGATTCATCCAAGTAACATGGAGTTTAACACCTTAAAGTATACAGTTTTTGGGTCTCACTAAAAAGCGTCCCGAAGAAATTAAGCGTTACTCGGCCAAGGTTTCTCATTTAGAGACCAAATATATCCCAGAAATGCTTTCTTTTTTAATCATCAAATGACTTTTATTTTTGGTATACTTTTATAGATTCCAAAAAGTTATTCAATGGGCAATTTGCCTGAACCATCTTTTCTTCTTTTGCAATTTAGCAATTAATACAGTTAAAGTGATTTAGTATTTTTTATGGAATTTAAACGCTACCTTTTTACAATTTGATACCTTTTAAATGTTTATATAGTATTCAGATTTAAGTACATGTACGCTATTAGTCTCCATTCTCAATGTTTGAATATAATAAACTCGTAGCTTTTGCTTCAAAATACCATAACAGTTACAGGAAAAGTAAAAATTTAACCATGCATGTATACCACTGAAACCTAATTCCACCAAGTATAAAGTTTACATTTTCTTCAAGCAAGATTTTGTGTTATGAATATTGCATTTCTTTCAATTTTAAAAATGGCCCTGCCTTTGTTATTTATCACTCAAATGGCAGTAGATGATATAGGATTTTCCTATTAAAATCACATGGGAAAAGCCCTAATACCTTATCCCATGAAAAAAGAATCCCAAAGAACGAAAAACGCGGGTTTAAAATTTTTTATTGGTTTAAATAGATTGTTTGTGATTTCAGGAAGGTTCGGGTTTTCCATTTTTTAAATATTGATTTTGAAAGAGTATGGGACGGCAAATATTTTTGGGTTTCATTTTTTCACAGACCCAAAGTTAGATAAGCATAAATCAACTAATAACATATACCCCACTGTGTTTTAAAAAAAGGGAATAAAAGTGTGTATTTCTTTTCCAGCGGGAACCCGTCGAAAAATAATACAAATTGAAATGCTCACGTCGAAAACACGTGAGAAAATCAGAATATTACATATACAAAAATTTTTTAGGGGCGGGTTCTCTATACCGTTACCCCACCCCACCCCTTAATAAAATGAACCCCTTATAAATAGACAAACAATTTAGACATTTATACATCCTCATTCATAATCCAAAAAATGCACCCCTTGTAATTATTATAAATATTCGATTTTCCAACTATTTGTCACACTTTGAAACTCCCTCACATGTGAACTTGTGCAAGCCCAAACTTTAGACAATCTTAAGAAGGGTGTTGAAAAACTTGGACACAAAGATTAACACGACATATCTGTCTATATGAATAATATATCTTATCAAGGTTTGGGGTGAAGAACCTGCAAAAAGGTAAGATGTTTTCACATACATGTATATTAATTCATTTATATAACAATAATAATTTGTTATTTACAATGTAGCATTTGGTTAACTTAGAATCAGGGACTACAGATATCGAAAATCATTGAAAGTAATTAAATGCTGTAAAACAATGAACACAATTGCCAATAAAAAGATTTTAATGGAGCTTTAGGGGGTTTGCCCTTTTCGCAAGCACAAATCATTGCTTCTAATTAGCCTATGTTTTAAACATACCACGAAATAAAAATGTACATGTGATTTATGACTATCAACTATCTTTGCAATCATTAAATTTATGTATTGCACAGTTCACGTTCTTTTATCTTTGTACTATACCCTAAAGACAATTTACTATAAAAAAATATTTCTATAGTCACTTGATAGCTATAGTCAATCATACAAATCCAGTGGGGTCAGTTTGCATTGCGCCAAATGATCTCCGTTGCGGATTTTAGTCATACGGCGCCGTGCACTTTCTTTTTTCCCTTCTAACAGAAGAGTTCTTTATTGCGGGAAAGTGCACGAAATGTCTGACAGAAAACTCCGAAGAAAATCAGTGAATGTGACATTTGCTGGGGATGATGAGGTTTTACAGCATATTGTAGACGCACACAATCAAAAAGGTCACATGTGTTTTTAGACTGTCAATCATGAATACTGTCGTTTTTGGATATCGGTCGATTTCGAGTTTACTCGTCCCTTAGTCAACTCACTCTCTGATTAACTCGTCCACTAACTCGTCACCTATTTTGTTATACATCAAATAGTTGTAGAATTCAAAGACAATAGACACGCTAACCACTTCTTTTTTATGAATTTATCAAGGAAATGTTTTGTTTATTTAGTAACTGAACAGAATTATTCCATTTTCTTTAAGACGTTAAGAAAAAAAGACCGTGAAACACTTCTTTTTAATGAATTTGGCAAGAAAATACACAAAGATCATTTGTAATACTCCTGTAATTACTGTTGTTGAGAAAAAGTAATTGAATGTTTAGAACCTTACCAGTCTTTGTAAAAGACCTGCACTGGCGCTTTGAAGATCTATCAGATCAGTTAACTTAAATGCAAAAATAATGATGTACATTTACGGTACCACTAAAATACGCAACGGAGATTTTTTGGCGCAACGGACGCAACGGGCGCAACGGAGATATTATTTTTAGAAAAACCGGCACAACGCCTTTTTTAAAAGTCAATGTGCTATATTTAAGCATCTAAAATGATTGTTTATAACTATTTAGTAAGTAAGTTTTAAAATATTTCATAAATTGTATATGTTTAATTGCACTGAAGGGTCATATGCCTGGCGAAATGGAAATTTCATGGCGCAACGGAGATATTTTTTTTTCAGAAAAACCGACACAATGCCTTTTCTAAGTCAATATGCTGTATTTGTGCATCTAAAATGATTGTTTAGCACTATAAAGTATGTATGATTTCAAATGTTTCATAAATTGTATACACTGAAGGATTATAATATGCCTGGTGAAATGGATATATATTTCATGGCGCAACGGAGATAATTTGGGAAAATCGGCACAACGTTTGTACTATTGTACTATTATATGAAATTAATTAACACCAATGTTATTTGAATAAATAAATTAAAAAAATCGTATATCAATTAATCAAAGAGCTGCAATGTTGATGTTGTAAAGGATTGTGTGCCGCCGAAATGGACATTTTGTCTGCGCAACGGAGATTTTTTTTGTTTTGGCTCAACGGAATCAATGTTAGTCCGAATTAAGTAGTTATATGAAGAAGTAAATCATTAAAGATATTAACTGAATTACTGAAGTGGTGTAATAAATGTCTGTTTTATTAATTTAGAAATGGAATTAAATACGGTTTTATTGTTATGGCTGACACTGAAAGACATGTATGGATTTTACAATCTGTTTCATTTTTTCCCGTTCAATTCGTTATTTTTACGAAAAGTACCGTAATAGCTTTTCTATACATAATTTTCAGAATTTTTACTTGAAGAATACACGAAAAGTCCGTAAAGCATACGCTGTTGACTTTCTAATGTAATCTTAACAATAAATTACCAAATTTCAACAAAACGTTCATTAATGGCTTTACTGATGCACAAAGAAATACGATTTATTTCCGTCATGGCTGATATTCGAATGATTGTAATATTTTATGCATTTTTAAAATTAAAAATAGTATTTATACAACATATTTATTGTTTGACGTAATTATTAAAATAGTAAAACGACATGCCTGTAGAATTTGCTTAGACTTTCCATTTTAAAACATAAGATAATTAAATTGAACGTTACTTATAACAATTCCTTCCCAATCAGAAAACCCCGTTAATCAAAAGCATTTTGGTGATTGGCAGAATGTTTATCACGGGTGTTAAGTACCGATAATTAAATTACATGTGGTTGATGTTTATTGGACAAGCGTTTTCACACCATTTAGATAATGTGATTAAGAGGAACATGTATTGACTTTAAGGTATAACATATTTTTTATAACTTATTATTGTCGAAAATATTGCTTTTGAAGCTTATTATGCCTTATTATGCCATATTTCACTCAAACTATGAGAAAAATTGTGTATATGAAATGTGAAACGTAATAAAACATTTTGGAGCCTGAATCCGCCACTGATAACGGTCAAGTTTTCTTTTACAAGTGTTAAATTATTAAACACCCGTGCCATACTCGTGCACGATACGTTGCTAATTGCTTACAATTCTCGCGTTATTGATTACCGTTTGTCAATATAACAATTATGAAATATTTTGATTGCTTTTGATGAAATATACAATTTATACGCAACAAACAATTATTGAAAAGGTACACAATGATTAATGAAAGATAATAAATTAATAAAATAATATAATATGATAAAAACTGTTATGATAATCCCCGTTGTGCCGAAATGTCCATTTCGCCGTAATTTAAATATCTTTTACAATATCCTATTTTCAACATTTTCTAAAATAAAGGAAAGTAAATCATTTTTAAAAGACTGTTACTTATTATTCTCAAATTCTTAAGTTATGTTTACATAAGAACTACCCGTTATGCAAATCTTCATTTTCCATTGCGCCAAAATTATGTCCATTTCGCCGTCCATTTAGAATCTGATATATTCAGTATTCTACCCTAATAAAATCAAACTTATACAGTATATGTAAAAAATATGTATAAAATATCAACAATACCAACTAATATGATTATTTTATGTTTTAGAACATAAAAAAACAGTACACAGTTTTGAAAATAAAATCTCCGTTTCGCAATAATCCATCGGCGCAACGGAGTTTATGAAAGGTATAACAAAAATACAATGAATGTTTATAATAAAAAATTACTGAACATTGATTCTGTAATATCAACATATTCCTTTATTTAGTTAACTAATGCAAATTCAATTAAAAATTATGTATAGAAAAGCTATTACAGTACTTTTCGTAAAAATAACGAATTGAACGGGGAAAAATGAAAACAGATAGTAAAATCTATACTTGTCTTCCAGTGTCAGCCATAACGATAAAAACGAATTTCATTCTATTTTTAAATGAATAAAACAGACATTTATAACACCACTTCAGTAATTCAGTTAATATCTTCAATGATTTACTTCTTCATATTACTACTTAACTCGGACAAACATTGTTTTCTTTTTAAATTCCGTTGCGCGAAAAAAAAATCTCCATTGCGTAGACAAAATGTCCATTTCGCCAACACAACAATCCTTTATGTACAACATCAACATTGCAGCTCTTTGATTATTTGATATACGATTAAGGTTTTTAAATCTTTTTTTAAAATTTATTTATTCAAATAACATTGGTGTTAATTAATTTCATATAATAGTACAATAGTACAAACGTTGTGCCGATTTTCCCAAATTATCTCCGTTGCGCCATGAAATTTCCATTTCGCCAGGCATATTATAATCCTTCAGTGTATACATATACAATTTATGAAACATTTGAAATCAAACTTACTTTATAGTGCTATACAATCATTTTAGATGCTCAAATACAGCATATTGACTTTAAAAAAAGGCGTAGTGTCGGTTTTTCTGAAAAAAAAATATCTCCGTTGCGCCATGAAATTTCCATTTCACCAGGCATATGACCTTTCAGTGCAATTAAACATATACAATTTATGAAATATTTTAAAACTTACTTACTAATTAGTTATAAACAATCATTTTAGATGCTTAAATAGCACATTGACTTTAAAAAAAAGGCGTTGTGCCGGTTTTTCTAAAAAAAATATCTCCGTTGCGCCCGTTGCGTCCGTTGCGCCAAAAAATCTCCGTTGCGTATTTTAGTGGTACCCTAATTTAATTCGGTACCACTAAAATACGCAACGGAAAATTTCATGGCGCAACGGAGATATTTTTTTTTCAGAAAAACCGACACAATGCCTTTTCTAAGTCAATATGCTGTATTTGTGCATCTAAAATGATTGTTTAGCACTATAAAGTAAGTATGATTTCAAATGTTTCATAAATTGTATACACTGAAGGATTATAATATGCCTGGTGAAATGGATATATATTTCATGGCGCAACGGAGATAATTTGGGAAAATCGGCACAACGTTTGTACTATTGTACTATTATATGAAATTAATTAACACCAATGTTATTTGAATAAATAAATTAAAAAAATCGTATATCAATTAATCAAAGAGCTGCAATGTTGATGTTGTAAAGGATTGTGTGCCGCCGAAATGGACATTTTGTCTGCGCAACGGAGATTTTTTTTGTTTTGGCTCAACGGAATCAATGTTAGTCCGAATTAAGTAGTTATATGAAGAAGTAAATCATTAAAGATATTAACTGAATTACTGAAGTGGTGTAATAAATGTCTGTTTTATTAATTTAGAAATGGAATTAAATACGGTTTTATTGTTATGGCTGACACTGAAAGACATGTATGGATTTTACAATCTGTTTCATTTTTTCCCGTTCAATTCGTTATTTTTACGAAAAGTACCGTAATAGCTTTTCTATACATAATTTTCAGAATTTTACTTGAAGAATACGAAAAGTCCGTAAAGCATACGCTGTTGACTTTCTAATGTAATCTTAACAATAAATTACCAAATTTCAACAAAACGTTCATTAATGGCTTTATTGATGCACAAAGAAATACGATTTATTTCCGTCATGGCTGATATTCGAATGATTGTAATATTTTATGCATTTTTAAAATTAAAAATAGTAACTATACAACATATTTATTGTTTGACGTAATTATTAAAATAGTAAAACGACATGCCTGTAGAATTTGCTTAGACTTTCCATTTTAAAACATAAGATAATTAAATTGAACGTTACTTATAACAATTCCTTCCCAATCAGAAAACCCCGTTAATCAAAAGCATTTTGGTGATTGGCAGAATGTTTATCACGGGTGTTAAGTACCGATAATTAAATTACATGTGGTTGATGTTTATTGGACAAGCGTTTTCACACCATTTAGATAATGTGATTAAGAGGAACATGTATTGACTTTAAGGTATAACATATTTTTTATAACTTATTATTGTCGAAAATATTGCTTTTGAAGCTTATTATGCCTTATTATGCCATATTTCACTCAAACTATGAGAAAAATTGTGTATATGAAATGTGAAACGTAATAAAACATTTTGGAGCCTGAATCCGCCACTGATAACGGTCAAGTTTTCTTTTACAAGTGTTAAAATTATTAAACACCCGTGCCATACTCGTGCACGATACGTTGCTAATTGCTTACAATTCTCGCGTTATTGATTACCGTTTGTCAATATAACAATTATGAAATATTTTGATTGCTTTTGATGAAATATACAATTTATACGCAACAAACAATTATTGAAAAGGTACACAATGATTAATGAAAGATAATAAATTAATAAAATAATATAATATGATAAAACTGTTATGATAATCCCCGTTGTGCCGAAATGTCCATTTCGCCGTAATTTAAATATCTTTTACAATATCCTATTTTCAACATTTTCTAAAATAAAGGAAAGTAAATCATTTTTAAAAGACTGTTACTTATTATTCTCAAATTCTTAAGTTATGTTTACATAAGAACTACCCGTTATGCAAATCTTCATTTTCCATTGCGCCAAAATTATGTCCATTTCGCCGTCCATTTAGAATCTGATATATTCAGTATTCTACCTAATAAAATCAAACTTATACAGTATATGTAAAAAATATGTATAAAATATCAACAATACCAACTAATATGATTATTTTATGTTTTAGACATAAAAAAAACAGTACACAGTTTTGAAAATAAAATCTCCGTTTCGCAATAATCCATCGGCGCAACGGAGTTTATGAAAGGACTATAACAAAAATACAATGAATGTTTATAATAAAAAAATTACTGAACATTGATTCTGTAATATCAACATATTCCTTTATTTAGTTAACTAATGCAAATTCAATTAAAAATTATATATAGAAAAGCTATTACAGTACTTTTCGTAAAAATAACGAATTGAACGGGGAAAAATGAAACAGATAGTAAAATCTATACTTGTCTTCCAGTGTCAGCCATAACGATAAAAACGTATTTCATTCTATTTTTAAATGAATAAAACAGACATTTATAACACCACTTCAGTAATTCAGTTAATATCTTCAATGATTTACTTCTTCATATTACTACTTAACTCGGACAAACATTGTTTTCTTTTTAAATTCCGTTGCGCGAAAAAAAAATCTCCATTGCGTAGACAAAATGTCCATTTCGCCAACACACAATCCTTTATGTACAACATCAACATTGCAGCTCTTTGATTATTTGATATACGATTAAGGTTTTTAAATCTTTTTTTAAAATTTATTTATTCAAATAACATTGGTGTTAATTAATTTCATATAATAGTACAATAGTACAAACGTTGTGCCGATTTTCCCAAATTATCTCCGTTGCGCCATGAAATTTCCATTTCGCCAGGCATATTATAATCCTTCAGTGTATACATATACAATTTATGAAACATTTGAAATCAAACTTACTTTATAGTGCTATACAATCATTTTAGATGCTCAAATACAGCATATTGACTTTAAAAAAAGGCGTAGTGTCGGTTTTTCTGAAAAAAAAATATCTCCGTTGCGCCATGAAATTTCCATTTCACCAGGCATATGACCTTTCAGTGCAATTAAACATATACAATTTATGAAATATTTTAAAACTTACTTACTAATTAGTTATAAACAATCATTTTAGATGCTTAAATAGCACATTGACTTTAAAAAAAAGGCGTTGTGCCGGTTTTTCTAAAAAAAATATCTCCGTTGCGCCCGTTGCGTCCGTTGCGCCAAAAAATCTCCGTTGCGTATTTTAGTGGTACCCGTACATTTATAATTAAATACAAAATAAAGTTTGAAACAAAATTCAAAATATATATTTTACTCACTTTTTTTTATTGTAAATGCATAATAAAAGTGTTTTTAAAAAATTACTTTTTCATACCATGAAAATTGTATTTTACAATGTTTTCACTACAGTTAAACCAACATCTAAGAGTCGGAGGAAGAGTTGTCCGGAGAGAGTGAAGACAATTGAGGAGGAAGAGGAGGAGGATCATGGTGACAATGAAAACTTGCCTCTTAAAAAGTCAACAGGTTGGTAATATCCAATGTCTTACTCATTGGATAAGAGGATATATCTGTTTGAATTGCCAAAAAAACTAAACTGAAAGGTTTAAATTACTTTACTTGTATAGTGAATTATTTTTGTTTCAAAATTGTCTGAAAATTCTCATTTGATACATGGAAAAATACCCCTGTCTTGGTTTATTGACTGATTGTATAAAAAAATTTATAAACTGGTAAAGTGAATTATTTTTGTTACAAAATTGTCTGAAAATTCTCATTTGATACATGGAAAAATACCTCTGTCTTGGTAAATTGACTGATTGAATAAAATATATGCACCTGTCCAGTTTTCATGGCAAATAGTGTTTTGTTTGTTTTTCCTGGTGTTAATTTTGAACAATGATTATAGTAAGTTTTTCCTTAATTGAATTCTTATTTGAAAATACTCAAAAATAAATTTTTGGAATGAAAATGGAGGTTGAACCCTTTAAGTTATATTTTTGTGCCCCCACATTAGTGGCGGGCATTTAGATTTACCCTTGTCCGTCCGTCCGTTCTCTTTTGTGTCGCATGTAACTCAAAAAGTATTTGACCTAGAGTCATGAAACTTTACAGGAATGTTGATCAGCATGTGAAGTTGTGCACCTGGGTATTTTTGTCTGGATATTTTTAGTATTTTTAGAGTTATTGCCCTTGACTTAGTAAAATTTTGCAATTTTCAACTTGTGTCGCATGTAACTCAAAAAGTATTTGACCTAGAGTCATGAAACTTTACAGGAATGTTGATCAGTATGTGTAGTTGTGCACCTGGGTATTTTTGTCTGGATATTTTTAGTATTTTTAGAGTTATTGCCCTTGACTTAGTAAAATTTTGCAATTTTCAACTTGTGTCGCATGTAACTCAAAAAGTATTTGACCTAGAGTCATGAAACTTTACAGGAATGTTGATCAGCATGTGTAGTTGTGCACCTGGGTATTTTTGTGTGGATTTATTTAGTATTTTTAGAGTTATTGCCCTTGACTTAGTAAAATTTTGCAATTTTCAACTTGTGTCGCATGTAACTCAAAAAGGATTTGACATAGAGTCATGAAACTTTACAGGAATATTGATCAGCATGTGTAGTTGTGCACCTGGGTATTTTCGTGTGGATTTATTTAGTATTTTTAGAGTTATTGCCCTTGACTTAGAAAATGTTTGCAATTTTCAACTTGTGTCGCATGTAACTCAAAAAGGATTTGACATAGAGTCATTAAACCTTATGGGAAGGTTGCTCAGCATATTTAGTTTTGCTCCTGGGGTTTCGCTTGTGGATTTATCCAGTATTTGTAGAGTTATTTCCCTTGACTTACAGTAGTATAAATTTGCAATTTTCAACTTGGGGTTTGCTTGGGGATTTATTCAGTATTTGTAAAGTTCTTGCCCTTTACTTAGTAAAAAGATTTTTAGTTTTCAAAAAATATTTGACCTAGAGTCATAAGATTGACAGAACAGTGGCCCGGTGGGGGCACCCGTGTCCTATGGACACATTTCTAGTTTATATTGACTTATTTAAGTTTAAAACTGCAATTGATTATCAGCTTAACAATTTGATATGATTTATTATATGTGATAAATAATTTAAGACAGTTAAAAAACATTATTATTCATGTCACAGAATAACTTTGTTAAAGTAATTTTTTAAAAATTCTTTATCGTAGCATTGGAAGATGAAAGTCAGTTGTGTGGTGGAGAAGTATATGGGTTCAAAACCCCGAAAAAGTCAGGTCAGATGGCACAGTTGGCATCAGAGTCAAGAACTCCCAAATCTATCCTGAAAACACCAGTGACCAAAGAAGGAACTCCTAAAAAATGTAAGATTGTCAACATAAGGGTTTGTGTAAAAATAAAACATTTTACATTGATAAAAACTTTTTGTTTGTTAAATTTGTCTTGTTATTTATCATCTAATAAAAATTGTGAGTGTACCGGTAAAAGTCAAAATAACAACACATAATCATTTAGCCATAATTGCTTTTCAGTTATTTATTATACTTTGCATGAATAATCAATAACGCATGTGACACATGGGCATTGCCGCAACAATGCATAGAGACTAGAGAGTGTGGCTATCTTTTTACATTTTAGTCAGTTTTGTATGTTGTCCTACACATTTGTCATTATCAATTATTGGTCGATCACGATATTAATATAAATGTAATTATGCTCAGCATGACTGTAAATTGGAAAAAAATGAGATAAAAGTTTTAAACAAACAGTTTTATAAAGTGTACTTACATGTGTACCAAGTGGTTTAGGGCAACATTCAGGGTACCAAATTGCAATGTCTTACTTATAATTGAAGCAAAACGCTCATGTGACAAATTGTTTATGTGACTTTAAGTATTTTGCTGTAAAACTTGTAATTAAAAAAACAAAACAAAAAAAAAACATGACATATTGTAAAAATGTTATTGTATATCTTCAGCTGTAAATTTTCCATCAACAAAGAATGAAGAAATGAGGACACCTACTGGAAAAAGGAATCTTAGACATAGAAAACTGCAGGCTTCAACACCATATAGATTACAGAAGCGACATGGGGCAGGTGAGAATTAAGTCCCCTTACCAACACTTATTTCACTATTGATCTCGTTCGTTGAGTCTAATAGTCATCTGTCTCTCATGGCAGATTTACGAATCCGCTGGGATTAGTAAAAGGTCATTTTTGCAGAAATTGGTTATTACTGGTTAGTTACCCAACAGAGCCAGTTAGGTAGATCAAACATGAAGATATGACCATAAAAAACGAAACAAAGGTACAAACAAAACTTATTTTGCTTAAGTGCCAATTTTTATGCCCCCACAGAGTGGGAGCATATAGCGTTGCACTTGTCCGTACGAGTGTCCGTCCATCCGTCCGTCTGTACGTCCCGAAATCTTGTGAACGCAACTCCTCTTAAACCGGATGGCAGATTTTGCTTAAATGTCCAGGGATGAACAACCTTAATGTGTAGATGGTAGTAAAGGAAGGAATTTTTGCTGCGACCAAATTTAACAGAATTATGGCCCTTGTTGATTTTTTCACTATATACTATGTAGAAATTTTGTGAACGCAACTCCTCTTAAACCGGATAGCAGATTTTGCTTAAACTTCCAGGGATGAACAACCTTCATGTGTAGATGGCAGTTAAGGAAGGAATTTTTGCTGCGACCAATTTTAACAGAATTATGGCCCTTTGTTTTTTTTTTCACTATATACTATGTAGAAATTTTGTGAATGCAACTCCTCTTAAACCGGATGGCACATTTTCCTTAAACTTCCAGGGATGAACAACCTTAATGTGTAGATGGTAGTTAAGGAAGGAATTTTTGCTGCGATCAAATTTAAGAGAATTATGGCCCTTTGTTGATTTTTTCACTATATACTATGTAGAAATTTTGTGAATGCAACTCCTCTTAAACCGGATGGCAGATTTTGCTTAAACTTCCAGGGATGAACAACCTTAATGTGTAGATGGTAGGAAAGGAAGAAATTTTTGCTGCGACCAAATTTAACAGAATTATGGCCCTTTGTTGATTTTTAGTTTTGTGGCACATGTAGTCCAAAAAATATTTGACATAGAGTCATAAGATTGACAGAACAGTGGCGTGTGGGGGCATCCGTGTCCTATGGACACATTTCTAGTTAACAGTATGTTAGTCATATAACAGCTTGCAGTTCTCTAACTAGTGTTCCTGGACTGGAGTCTGTATCCAAGTTAACCTGGATGTAAGACATATTCTTATACTTTAATCCATCACAGGACTTAACATTGGTTTCTATATTATATACCAGTACAATAAAATGCACATAGAAAAATTGCATAACTGCCACCCTGAGGTCTGCAAACCTAATGCTTTTTGTTTTGTAAGATTCTGACTTTTTGTTGATTGGGGGGGGGGGGGAATGAAAGAAGGGAATATATTTTTTTGCCTTGACCTTTCGAAAGCTTGTCTTGAACATAACTTTAGTAATTCTTTAATGAATTTTCTTTGAATTTTTCATCATCAAACAATGTGTTGTGTGCAAGATGCAAGGAATATGTTTGTAAGAAAAAAGGTCAGGTGTAAATGTTGACAAAAAAGTTGTTGTTTTTTCCCCCAGGTGATTCAGACTCCAGTGACAGTATGGAGTCATCTAGCTCTGACAGTGATGAGGACATCAAACCCGTGTCCTCAACCAGTAAGTCTCGTACCTCCTCAGCCAGTGCCTCAAACACACCAGCAAATACTCCCGCAAAATCTGAGAAATCCTCGGCGACTCCTAGAAAGTCTCGTAGAAAAACAGAGGAGATAGATATGGTACAACCACATCATTTTTTATGTAAAATTTTGAGCTGTGTTAAAGCTGCATGCCACCAATATAGAGCTGACCAGGCTGTTTACTTATATTCGACTAATATTAAATTTTTACAGTTAAAATAATTTTAGTATTGTGTCTTGAATTTCTTTGGTTAAATCAGGTCTTTATAGTGGTAAAAATTAAGTAAGGAAAATTACAGTAAAGAAAAAAGAAATTATATGGATGTTAATTCTCGGCTAAAATTCTCACCTATTCTTGAAAAAATAAGTATAAAAAAATGGTTGAATTAAGATTTACATATCTTATTGAATTAAAATACCATTTAAGGCCATTTCAATAAAGTGATCTATTTTAATTTACAGAAGACTAATGTGGAGGAATATTTTGACATTCATGCTAGTGATGTCGGGCCTACGTCAGATGCTACCTTGTCAAAGTTAGACGTGCCCCGCCTGGATCAGGAATCCCTCATTAATCTGTTGGAAAATGTACAGTCGTCACATATCAACGAATGTAAACAAATGTTTCATGAACTTCAAGACATGTTCACAAACTGGATGTTTCAAATGTGGTAAGTTTTGCTTTCTTTTTCTATTATTTTAGCTTACCAGAGCCGAAGGCTCAGGGTGAGCTATTAGTATCAAAGGGGGATGCTCCGGCGACCGTCGTCATGCGTCAACAATCGTCTTCTTCTCTGAAACTACAAAGCAGATTTACTTCAAATTTGGTCTGTAGGTTCCTTGTGACAATCACACTTGAATTTGCTCATGTCATTCCCATTGGCCCCTTTTAGGGGTCAGCAGAGCTAAAAGTAGAAAAACATTTAAACATCTTCTACAGAACTAATTGATGGATGATAACCAAACTTTGTCTGTAGCATTCTTAGGTAGTCTTTTATCAAGTTTGCTCATATTAATTTGATTGGCCCCTTTAAGGGGTCTCTAGGGCTAAAAATAGAAAAACCTTTAAACATCTTCTACAGAACTAATAGATGGATGATCACCAAACTTTGTCTGTAGCATTCTTGGGTAGTCTTTTATCAAATTTGCTCATATTAATTTGATTGGCCCCTTTTAGGGGTCTCTAGGGCTAAAAATAGAAAAACCTTTAGACATCTTCTTCTACAGAACTAATGGATGGATGATCACCAAACTTTGTCTGTAGCATTCTTGGGTAGTCTTTTATCAAGTTTGCTAATATTATTTTGATTGGTCCCTTTTAGGGGTCTCTAGGGCTAAAAATAGAAAAACCTTTAAACATCTCCTACAGAACTAATTGATGGATGATCACCAAACTTTGTCTGTAGCATTCTTGGGTAATGTTTAATCAAGTTTGCTAATATTATTTTTATTTGGGCCATTTTAGGGGTCTCTAGGGCTAAAAATAGAAAAACCTTTTAACATCTTTGCCTACAGAACTAATGGATGGATGATCACCAAACTTTGTCTGTAGCATTCTTGGGTAGTCTTTTATCAAATTTGTTAATATTAATTTGATTGGCCCCTTTTAGGGGTCTCTAGGGGCTAAAAATAGAAAAACCTTTAAGACATCTTCTTCTAGAGAACTAATGGGAGTGGAAGATCACCAAACTTTGTCTGTAGCATTCTTGGGTAGTCTCTTTTATCAAGTTTGCTTATATTAAATTTGATTGGCCCCTTTTAGGGGGGCGCTAAAGCTAAAAATAGATAATACCTTTAAACCATCTCATTATCTATGGGAACCTAATTTATGGATGATCACCAAACTTTGTCTGTAGCATTCTTGGGTAGTCTTTTATCAAATTTGCTCATATTAATTTGATTGGCCCCTTTTAGGGGTCTCTAGGGCTAAAAATAGAAAAACCTTTAGACATCTTCTTCTACAGAATTAATGGATGGATGATCACCAAACTTTGTCTGTACCATTCTTAGGTAGTCTTTTATCAAGTTTGCTGATATTAATTTGATTGGCTCCTTTTTGGGGCCGTTAAAGCAAAAAATAGAAATACCTTTAAACATCTTCTATAGAACTAATTGAAGAATGATCACCAAATTTTGTCTGTAGTATTCTTGGTAGTCTTTTATCAATTTTGATCATATCAATTTGATTGGCCCCTTTTAGGGGCCGCTAAAGCTAAAAGTAGAAATACCTTTAAACGTCTATTTCTACAGAACCGATTGATGGATGATCACCAAACTTTGTCTGTAGCATTCTTAGGTAAGCTTTTACCAAGTTTGCTCATATTAATTTGATTGGCTCCTTTTAGGGGCCACTAAAGCCAGGAATAGAAAAACCTTTGAACATCTTACTGAAATAAGTGATAGATGATCACCAAACTTGGTAGCATTATTAGGTAGTCTTTTATCAAGTTTGCTCATTTTAATTTGATTGGTGCCGTTTAAGCTAAAGCTTAAATGCCCCAGGTCATGGCATTCTTCAAATTATTGTTTAAACATATTCTATGCTCAAATTGAATATCAGAAAATATTGACAATGGATAATTTCTGACTCTGAAAAGCAGTTGTTTCTGGTGAGCGACTCAGGGCCATCATTGCCCTCTTGTTTACAAAGGTGGAACATTCTGTGATTGTGTTAGTCTGTACATTTGCATGCACTTTGGGGGTGACTTTATCGGAAAACTTTCAATGTTTATTCTGTATAAACTGTTGTTTATAGGGTGGAAATAGGTTGCTTATAGAGTTTAGTAAATCAAAGATCAAAAAGAATAAACCCCGTAACTTCAACTTGGAAAGAACATCATCCTATTCTTGTATACTTTGACCTGTTTTGTGTAATTTATGTGGATTGAAAGTGGTTTTTGAAATATATAAATTACTTTCTTTGTTCACTTTATAATATTTTTTGCCGACTTCTTTTCAAAGAAAAAAAAAGATGTATTGTTACAGTCATGTCGGCATTTAAATTGCTGTTTCCCAAAATTTAAGTTTGATAATAACTTTTTAAGTTCTTAGTGTATTGTCACAACAACCCTCGGGAGAACAACCTTTAAGTAAACCAGACTAAACTTGTCCTTCATTTATAAATGTCTAAATTTTGCTTGATTTTTGCTATAAGTGGCTATAACTTTGTTATTTTTGAATGAATTGTCCTCAAATTTAAACACAACAATCTTTTAGGATAGACCTTTAAGTTCATCAGACAGGTTTTGACCTTCACTTACAAATGACCTTGATCTTGATGTAACTGGCTATAACTTGTTATTAATAAATGCACTGACTCCATATTAAGTCACAACATTCTGACTAATGAATGGATTGACTTCATATTAAGATCCAACATTCTTTAAGATAAAACCTAAATGTATTTCAAACTCAAATTGACCTTGGCTCATTTATGACCTTGACCTTGAAGGTCAAATTATTGAATTTTCACAGATTTTTCTTGTAATTGACTTCCTTGGTATTTAATAGAGACTATCTCCATACTTTGATAAAACGACCTTTTGGAGAAGACTTTCTAAAAAGGTTGAACTTTAGCTTTATATGACCTTGATTATCAAGGCCAAATTATTGAATTTCTATCAAATTGTCATAATTTTGTTATTTATATACAGATTTGATTTAAACAATGAACTTGGTCAAAAGAAGACTTGCTACCAAACAAACATATTGTATATTTTGACTGTCAAGTCCAAATTGATGAAAGTGACAAGGTGTACTTTTGTGATTGCAATTTTTTGTACAGCCATCGTCTGTCTATAATCTTTTACTTTTAACAACATCTCCTCATAGACCAGTAAGCCAATTTCATTTAAACTTCACAGGAATGTTCCTTGGGAGGGCACCTTTGAAAATTGTTCAAAGAATTGAATTCCATCAAGCAGAAGTCTATTTGCCATGTCAACCCAAAGAAAAAACTTAAAAAATCTTCTAAAAAAAACCCTAAGGGACTAAAGCTTAGATATGTAGCATAAAACATATTCTAGTGGGTGTTTACCAAGTTTGTTAAAACTGAAAGTAGACCTCTTTTAAGTTTGTACAAATTTATAGCCTTTGGGTCAAAATTGGCCCAGCCCGGGGGGGGGGGGGTCATTGATTTTTCTCACATGTATAGAGTAAAAACAACAAAAAATCTTCTATTATAGTAGCATTGCCTAGTGAACACCTGTACAAATTGATTTAATCATACCCCTTTGATCCAAATTGATCCCACCTAATGACTTGCTTTAGAATTTAAGAATTGTGACTTTTTCTAGAAATCAGTTGAGTGATGTAGGGCCATTTTAGCCCTCTTGTATTTTTTTGTACATTCTGCAGTTGACCATTTCATTATTCCTATTGACTTGAGACAATAATGGCTGATGACTGCATTAAACAGGGTCATTTTATATACAGGGAACATAGAATAATAAATAACCACATGGCTATATACAAATGTTTACAGGGTACATTTTTGTGTCGCCCCTACTCCCTAGAGGCGACATATAGGGATCACTACTCCGTCGTCTGTCCGTCTGTCACAAAACTTGTCCGGACTATTCCTCATAAACTACTGGTGCAATTTCATCCAAACTTTACAGGAATGATCAGTAGCACGTCTAGTTGTGCATATTGTCAGCATTTTCTGGTTCAATGATTTTTGTCGTATGATTTTTGACATATGATACACAAATGTATTCAGGGTACAAAATATAAAATAAGAACAAGACTTTATATACAAGGTTCATTTTATAAAACAAGGCTTGATCAATAGAAGACTAGCTCAAACTGTTTGACTACTGTAAAAAAAAAAAGCTTGGAATAATTCACCTTTAAAACCAAAATTTTAAATACATTTTCACAAGCAATACTTGTCCTCTACACAAGATGCTCTTAACTCTCAAATGTAAAGTCAGATACTACAAGTCAATGAAGTTGGAGTCATTCTTTCAATTTAACATGTTTAATTGTGTTTCAAAATAATATGTGATAAAAAGTGTAATGGCAGGCATTTATTTTGTCATTTGAATCAGTTTGATAATCATATCATTGAAAACTCTTAATACTTCCTTTTTTTTATCCAATTTTATTGGCTAACCAGTAAGCCAGAAAGGAGCTTACATATATGAATGTTTGCTGCATTGTTTCTTGCCGTTTGTTGAAGAGAAAGCATGTAGCAGTTTAATGCTTGTTGAGGTCTGTTTTCTTGTTCCATACATTGTCCTAAAATGTTGAGAGCTGTTTCTCTATGTTGGAGGTTTTTATCTGTTTCTATGGTTCTTTTAAGTTTACAAAGTGCTTGTTGTTGATCTTGATGTCTTTGTAGATGACGATAGATCTTGTATTGTAGGAAGTATAAGAAAGGTAGAGAATCAACTACAGCCCAGTCCATCCAACAGTGGTATGTTTCATCTCTGTGTATCATGTCATCACGAGTTGATCTGAACATTTCATATTGTAGTTCACGAGGAACACAATTGATCTCTCCCTGTATAAATCTGACACAAAAAGCTGTAATATGTTTGATACAGTCCTCACTTTGTGTATTACATACCCTCATGAATTCTGCTGATACTGTTTTTTGGTGGTGTTTAGGACAGCCACAGATAGGTAAAACGGGAATAATATTGTTGTTCTGTGTGTCTCAGAATTAGTTCAGCTTTCTCCATATCTCCTGTACTGTAAAACACTGAGGCCAATTTAAGTCTGCTAGATGAGATATCTGAGTTTAAACCAGCTGATAACCAAACCAGTGCTTGAGGTGACACTTGATTATTTTCACCAATGCTGGATGATGCTAGGATAGATCCATATGTGGTAAAAAGAGAAGGTGCTAGAAGCTTGTGTGCAGCATGTTCTAATCTATTACCATTGTCACTGAATGTCTTTAGTTTACTTACAGATTGCTGTATTGTTCTAATGTTTTTATTTTGTAAATGATCTAAAATATGCATATGCTGAAAACTTATGCCATGTGCAATGTTTATATATGCCAATGACATAACATATTGATATATTTCAAGAGAATAGGGAAAATAGTAAATTCCATGTGGTACCCTGTTCAGTTTAACTTGAAGTCTATGACCAACATCATCAATATCAATACTAAGTAGCCGTTGTCTATCATTCTGTATAAAATCACAAATATTTTTTGAAAGTTCATGTTTTGTCTCAGCTGTAAATTGCCCTGCCATCAAATTGTTTTCCGGTATAATGAAATGTGAACAACAATCATTCTGTACACAATTGTGTAATTCCAATAAGCAGTATGTTAAACATGTATATAAATTGTTATATTTCCATATTCCTGACTCTGTGTTTTCTATACAATGTAATAGAACTGTTTTACACATGAAACTTGATATGTTTATTTCATCTTGAGGATTAAGGAAAGACTTGAGAATCATTTTCAACAGTACATAGCACCTTATTTGTGTTATATTTAGATTGAACATAATACATCTTTCTGCCATTGATGTAGATATTCTCCATTCCAGTTCAGGATATTCACTGACCTTACTTCCAGTTGGAACAACAAAACACCCAGTACTGGTTGCATATCTTCTCATCTCTTGTGTTGGCCATCTGTCAATACCCTCTCTATGTAACCAACCAGATGCTGATTGAGGCCATGATTTACAATGAAAAGCACACACTTTGTCTCTATCACTGAATCCAGGTTGTCCTTGTTCAGCAATAGCTGGTCCATGCTGCTGCTGATCACCCACACGCATATCATTTAGCATTGTGTTTTTATACAATAGTCTTCCTCTTCTATCAGTAATATGGTGTTCATTACGAATGCCAGTTGCAGGAAGAGGTTCATCATGTCTGAGTAGTTGTAAGAAACAGTACCCGGGGGTAGTGTTCTCATCCTGTATCATGAGGTAGTTTAACTTGCCATGTTCCCACTCTGACCAGTCTTGTATTATATTGTAATTATCATTACAGAGTACTATATCAAGGTCTGAATGAAGTCCTATAGTAGTTGTACCTTCACTTTGACTCCCTAGTAAATAGTTAGTCACATTTTTATCAATTAACCTGTATATGATATTACTCATAGTCTCTTCCAGCATGTATCCTCTTCTCCTTCTCATCACCATTCTTTCATTGACACCAATGTCATGTAAAACCTCTGATAACATCAATGATAAGTTTTCTCTGTAGTCAGGTTCTTGAAACATTCTGTAATATTTTAGTAAAAGAAAAAAATATTTCAGTCAGCAGACAAATTAATTTAATCATCTACTTGTTACTTATTTGTCCTTTATGTCCCAGAACTGTATAGAACAGGAAAGTCTGAATCTAGACATTATGAAACATAAAATAAATAAGTTAGTGATGATATCAATTGATAAAAAAAATTGCATATTTTTCTCTATTTGGTTGTGGTATTTTTCTTCTCTGTTATGTAAATGTGAATATTTGTTTACTAAATTAAACACGTATTCAAATGTTCAACTAATTCATTGAATACAAATGACAAATTGTGTAAATATAAATAAAATAAAGTTCAAAACATTGACTTTTGGATATAAATTTCTTAAAAATTATGAAGAGGAAATATTTCTTTTCATATGACCTGATATGTGGAAATTTAGATTTATATAACACCACAATATATTTTGAAAAATACATTAAAATGTAAAACATAATTGTGTATATTTCTATTTATTCAAAATACATAATTCTTTTAAGAAAATATTCTTCTTTTTTTTAAAATTGATAAAAGGGAGACACAAAAATTAAAACACTTTCTAAAATATTGCCTGAATTACTTTCTTACTTAATTCATTCTGTATAAATGAGAAATTAAGTTTTAAAAATATAGTTTTAAACTTACTTTGAATGTTGTATTTAACAGTGTTTCGTAGAAATAATTTAGAAAAATTAAAATATTAACAACAGATATATTGTTTTATACTCTTTAAATTCCTTGAAAACTTTTTGAAACAGAAATTAAAATTTTAGGATTATATTTACTGGTAAATGAGAACTTGAATAACTTGAATAAGATTTTTATAAATTTTCCTTGTTACTTGTAAACATAGGGACAATAAATATATAGAAACTTGTTTCAGATCAATTTCCTGAATATATCTCTCCGCAAGTTGAAAGTGTATTTTTTTAAGTCTAGAAAAAGTTTCCATTCAAGTGTATATTAATGTCCCCTATTTTCAATGGTAGTGTTACTGATATATTAATACTGAAATGAGCCGCATCACACCCTTGCAGAAATTATTGGTAATTTACCAGGAATTTACTACGAATTTACTGGGAAATCCCAGGAATATTTACTTGGATAATTCCTAGGAAATGCAAGGAATCTGAGGAATTCCCAGTTACTGGCTGGCGGTAATTGAAACCACTGAAAACTAGAAAAAAATGTGAAACCAGAAATGCCTTAGATCGACTTGTACTGGAAAATCCTAATTACTGAGAATGACCTGCCCATGGTATTTGGAACATTTTTCTTGTCACTCCCAGGCATTTCATTGATTTTCCCTATATGCATATAGTAAAAACTTAAAAAATCTTCTTTTAAAGAACCCAAAGAGCTAGAGCTGAGATATTTAGCATGAAACATCTTATAATGAATGTCTATCAAGTTTGTTCAAATAAAAGCCCTGGGGTCAAAATTGGCCCCGCCCCAGGGGGTCATTGATTTTCCCTATATGCATATAGTAAAAACTTATAAAATCTTCTTTTAAAGAACCCAAAGAGCTAGAGCTAAGATATTTAGCATGAAACATGTTCTAATGGGTGTCTACCAAATTTGTTCAAATAAGAGCCCTGGGATCAAAATTTGTCCTGCCCCGGGGGTCATTGATTTTCCTTATATGTGTAAAGCAAAAACTTTAAAAAAAAATCTTCTTTGAAAAAAAACAAATAGCTAGAGTTTTGTTACTAAGCATGAAACATCTTCTAATGAGTGTCTACAAAGTTTGTTCATATAAAAGCCCTTGGGTTAAAATTGGCTTCGCCCTGGGGGTCATTGATTTTATTTATGTGTATAGCAAAAACTTAAAAAAACTTCTTTGAAAAAACCCAAATAGCTAGAGTTAAGATATTTAGCATGAAACATCTTCCAGTTAGTGTCTTCAAAGTTTGTTCAAATAAAAGCCCTGGGGTCAAAATTGGCCCCACCCCGGGGGTCATTGATTTTCCTTATATGTGTATAGCAAAAACTTAAAAATCTTCTTCGAAAAATCCGAATAGCTAGAGTTCAGATTAACTGTATTAAGCATGAAACATTTCTAGTAAGTGTCTACAAAGATTGTTCAAATAAAAGCCCTTTGGTCCAAATTGGCCCTGCCCCAGGTGTGTCATTGTTTTTAACTATATGTGTAAAGAAAAAACTTGACCAGCTAGACCTTAGATGTTTAGCATGAAACATCTTCTAATGGGTGTCTACCAAGTTTGTTCAAATAAAAGCCTTGGGGTTTAAACTGGCCCCGCTACGAGGGCCTATATACAGGTGAGCGACTTCAGGGCCATCATGGCCCTCTTGTTACACTTTGATCTTTGTCCAGGACATAACTCTGACACTATAAGAGATATGAACAATAAACTTAATAGTAAATAGATCTCATTGGGTAAATGAGCAGTGCAAAAAACAGTAACTCTGCCTTGCCTAATTTTGGAATTATTGCACTTTAAACCTTGTCGGGGACATAACTCTGAAACTACAAAAGGTATACTTTTCTGTGTCCAAAACCTACTCGGGGAGCATCACCAGGTTCATCCGGCTCTTTGTTTAAAACATTTGTTTGCTTTTAGAGAAAGTAAAAAAAGTTGAGTGTAACCCCTACATGGTGGTGGCTCTTGTAATTTTTACAACAAAAAAATCTAATATTCTAGAATTCAGAGATGGATGACTGTTAAAATATTTTTACATGTATATGAGATTGTTTTAATTGTTGTTTGTTTGTTTTTGCAGCAATGGTTTCAACATACTGCTGTATGGCTTTGGTTCTAAGAGAAATTTGATGGAAAAATTCAGGAGTACAACTTTGAAAGGATTTTCCCAGCTTGTAGTGAACGGATATTTTCCTAGTCTTACTATTAAACATGTATGTTTTATTGTTTGTATTTTGAAAAACTGTTCAAACATATACTATGCTCATCCTTGAGTGAAATATTTTAATCACAGAGGTTTATTCAATCTATGTAATTCTTAATGACTTTGTCTCATTTGAATGTAAGAATTAATAAACTATGTATTGGAAGCCGCGTTCCCTATTACAGGACAAGTAAATTTGGCCTTTTCTTAAAGAAACCCAACTCCAATCCTGAAAATTGTAATCTTGTGATGAAGGTAACTTGTGAGCTTTACAGTAGAGTGGATCTAACCATCAACAAAAGGCCAATGCTTGTCTGAAATTATGCATGTAAGGGCATCCACTGTATTTCTCAAGCAGTCACAGTTGGAAAAGAGGCATATTACATTATCATCATCATTGTGGTCCTACTGTAGTGGCAGCTTGTACCTGAAATAATGCATGGAGGGGCACCTCAAGTCTTTCTCCACCACTGACTAAAGCTGAGAAGTTGCTATATGACTTGAACAAAGTGCTGGCATGACTTAAAACCCAACCCCCAATATAATATCAGTTGTTTCAGATTTAACCAAAAACTAATAATAAAGGAATTGAAAAGATTTTAGAAAAATATAACAAATATATTTTGTTTGAATTGCATGATTAATATTTCTGATTTCAGATTTTAAATTCTATAACAGAGGATATATTTGGACATAATGGCAGTTTCAAAAACCCATTAGATCAGTGTGAATTTATAAAGAAAGAGTTTGAAAAATCAGGTTAGTTTTTAGCTCACAAAGTGACAGGGTGAGCTTTTGTGATCGCTTTTCGTCTGGCGTCCGTAAACTTTTACTTTAAATGACATCTCCTCATAAACAACTAAGTCGATTTCATCCAAACTTCACAGGAATGTTCCTTTGGTGGTCACCTTTAAAATTGTTCAAAGAATTTAATTCCATGCAGAACTCAGGTTGCCATGGCAACCAAAAGAAAAAACTTTAAATATCTTCTTCTAAAAAAAAACCAAAGAGCTAGAGCTTAGATATTTGGCATGAAACATCTTCTAGTGAGTGTCTACCAAGTTTGTTCAAATAAAAGCCCTGGGGTCAAAATTGGCCCCGCCCCAGGGGGTCATTGATTTTCCCTATATGCATATAGTAAAAACTTAAAAAATCTTCTTTTAAAGAACCCAAAGAGCTAGAGCTAAGATATTTAGCATGAAACATCTTCTAATGGGTGTCTACCAAGTTTGTTCAAATAAAAGTCCTGGGGTCAAAATTGGTCCCTCCCCAGGTGGTCATTGATTTTCTCTATATGCATATAGTAAAAACTTGAAAATCTTCTTCTAAAGAATTCAAAGAGCTAGAGCTAAGATATTTAGCATGAAACATCTTCTAATGGGTGTCTACCAAGTTTGTTCAAATAAAAATCCTGGGGTCAAAATTGGCCCAGCCCCAGGGGGTCATTGATTTTCCCTATATGCATATAGTAAAAACTTGAAAAATCTTCTTCTAAAGAACCCAAAGAGCTAGAGCTAAGATATTTAGCATGAAACATGTTCTAATGGATGTCTACCAAGTTTGTTCAAATAAGAGCCCTGGGGTCAAAATTGACCCCGCCCCGGGGTCATTGATTTTCCTTATATGTGTATAGCAAAACCTAAAAAATCTTCTTTTAAAGAAGCCAAATAGCTAGAGTTTAGATACTAAGCATGAAGCATCTTCTAGTAAGTGTCTACAAAGATTGTTCAAATAAAAGCCCTGGGGTCAAAATTGGCCCTGCCCCAGGTGTGCCATTGTTTTTAACTTTATGTGTAAAGAAAAAACTTGACCAGCTAGACTATAGATGTTTAGCATGAAACATCTTCTAATGGGTGTCTACCAAGTTTTTTCAAATAAAAAGCCCTGGGGTTTAAACTGGCCCCGCTCCGGGGGCCTATATACAGGTGAGCGACTTCAGGGCCATCATGGCCCTCTTGTTATTTCTTTGGGTCGTCAGACAAAACAAATAATGGTAGTGAAAATTGAACTTTGATATCAGCTGACCTAGATTTTGACAAAGTGTCTTACTGTGTTGTCCTTTGATGTAGTCATGAAATTTAGGCTGTGTGAAATATGACCTTCACCACCAAATTCAGTAGACTCGAGTGAATTGATATATTCCTACTCTGATCTTTTATCGGATTAATAGATTTAACCACTAATCTGATAATAAGAATTAGATAGGTCAGGGATCCATCTTCAATTGTATAGAAACAAAAAAAAAATCTGTTCCTACACTTCTATTTAGTGTTGTATTAATGAGGTGGCATAGCATTTTTCTCAGATGCTATCTTGTTTTCAAATTGTTTAAGTCAAATAAACATTGAATTGAATGTCAGTGTTGCAATTAGTCTTAAAGCCAATTTACTACAATAAAAACGCAGGAAAGCATTGGTGGCACAAATTGGTTTATAATCTCACAACCTTCACCTTTCTGACATTCTGAGACCCAAACAAATTCAGTGCTTAGATAATTAGAATGTTGGTGATCAATTTCTAAAATGTTTGATTAGTTCTTATTACATTAATCATGTCTTAGATTAGAATAACAAGTCATGAGTCATTTCTCAATTGGTGGTGGTGTTGGTAGTTTTCGCTTTGGATCATGGCAGTAAGCTGCATTGAACATTCAAGAGCACAGTTCAGCCACCCATTGTTCCTGGGCAGACTGTCAAGTATTTACCAGTACTAGTTGCCTTCACTTTCACAAGGAACTGATTACTTCTGTACATGCTAGAGCAGAGCTACAGTGCGAAAAGACTGTAAAAAGGATTTCATTATCAATCACAACAAAAGTGACCTGCACATCCTTGAATTGTATACTGATCGCAGTTTACCGTTCTACCTAATGAGCTAACCGGACGATGTTCATTTCTTAATTGAAAAATGGGTTAATTCTAAATTTAATTTAGTATACAGTATTGTTACAGATGCATATCCAGAATAAAGATATCAGTGCTCTAAATATGAGTTATTGTAAATTTTCAGGTCAAGATTTTTATGTAATTATACACAATATAGATGGTACCATGTTGAGGAATGACAAATCTCAGAATATACTTAGTCTCTTATGCCAGGTACCGGGACTACATATGATAGCATCTGTAGACCATATTAATTCTTCCCTAAGTAAGTAAAGATTTAAACATTTCCTAAAAATTAAAAATGATTTTTTTTTTCAAGACCTACTACTAGATGTATACAGTACAATAATTTTATCAATTTTTAAGCTTCCAGCAAACGATTCGGATAATAACAAACATATAACTCTTGAATGGTTTCTTTTGAGTTATTCCCCTTTGTGAACCTTAAATCTTGAATGGATTCTTTCGAGTTATTCCCCTTTATGAAAGTAAAAATTGCATGTTATGGTTTGAATACAAGTTTAATTTTCTCAACAACAAAACGTATGTCAGTGATACTACGCAAATATGTTCAGGTTTTGTAATTTCAATTAACTTATAACGATCCTAGGTTAGATTTTTACTGGAATATTCCAGTTTAGCACTTCTTTTATTCTATTTAATTCATCAGACTCCTGTAGAAGTTATGTTTAGATATTTTGCGTACTTGAAAACTTAAAAGAAAAGGTTTCATTCAAGGTTGTATTAAAGATCTTTTTTTTTATATCAGTTTGGGATCAAACAAAATGTAGTAGATTTAGGTGGTTATGGTATGACGCTACCACATTTGCACCATACACAGAGGAAACCTCATATGAAAACTCGATACTGGTGCAGCAATCTGGGGCTCTGGCTCTCAGCTCACTAACACATGTGATGAAATCTCTTACACCTAATGCCAAAGGAATCTTCTTGCTACTGGCCAGGAACCAGCTTGAGCATAAAGATAGCACTAATTATATTGGTAAGTTTTGAATGTTTTCTTTGGGTTAATTAAATTATATTGGTTAGTTTTGAATGTTTTCTTTGGGTTAATTAAATTATATTGGTTAGTTTTTATGTTTCTTTGGGTTATTTTATATTCTTCTGTCTCATAAGTAATTAAGATTTCTATGGCAAGTTTATCAAAGCCAGTCTTGGAAAAAATGATGTTATTTAAATGTACTGCATGGTAAACTTGATATCAAAAACTATTTTAATATTTATATACAGAAGTATTAACAGAGGACTTGCTATATTGCATGTATAATCTTAAGTGTCTGTCTATCAAAGAGGGCTCAGTGAGAGTTCTCAGAATGTGCATATTTAATTTAAGTAGGTGGAGATAATGTCTTAATACTACAGATTTATGAATCCTGTTGATTAATAAGCATACTAAAAGTGTTTAAATTGAAATGTTAGACTTAACTTCTAGTATGCTTATTAACAGTTTAAAATGTTTACAATTTTCAAGTTCAAACACTATGAGTAACAAGATGTGTAACTGTTTTTATCTCATTTGATTGATTGTTCAGAGTTGTTGCCCTTGATCAAGTAAAATGATGTATTACAAGTATCAAATATCTTTGGGGGTTCATTTTCAATCTTAAATATCTTATTGTGATGTAAACTATATAATATGATTTAATCATATTTCCCATGGTCTTGAATGTCATAATATATATGTACATATATACATGTATGCATATAGTGCTATAGTACAGTTAAAGCAAAGAAACTAAACATGTTATTAACATTCATGTTCAAAATAAGCTTCTTTATTTTCATGCATTGTTGATCTAAAAATATCTATTTTGTTTATTATTCTATTTGCCTGAAGGCATTTGACTAAAATGTTCATAAAAAACAATATGGAATGTTTAAATGATATACTGACATATGACAACAGAGTAGAGTCAAAACAGCCTTTTAAAAAACTAGCCTGACCAGAAACTGCGCTGTCTGTCCATGGCCAAGTGGTTAAGGTGGTTGACTTCAAACTACTTGCCCCCTCACCGCTGTGTGTTCAAATCCCAACAGGAACATCTGATTCTTTCATGTTAGGAAGCTTTCCAGCTAGTTTACGGAACGTCGGTGGTTCTACTCAGGTGCCCATTTTTGTCTGAAATAATGCACAGAATGATGCCTGAAGTCTTTCTGCATCAGTAAAGCTGGAAAGTCGCCATATGACTTATACAGTGTTTTTGCAATGTAAATCCCAACCAAACCAAAAAAAAAAAAAAAGCAAAAAAAAACCCCAAATATTTTGATATTGTTAAAATCCCTTGAATTAAAATGGGAGAATTCAAATTCATTTAGCATGGCAAGTCCATTAGGTTAATTTAGTATGGTTAGGTTGAAAAACAGGATGTTGTTTGCTTTCTTATGAGTTTAATTGGGGTTATTGCGACTTTTATGTCTTATTTATTTGTTTTTAAAACTACTTCACTACCAATTTTGTTTTTTCGTATCAGTTATGGCTCCTTGATTCATGTGACATTTAATGTTTCATAAACATATTACTTTAAGGTCAGACTAATTGACTTGAGTTGTTGATATATAAAATTCTTCATATTTCTATGTATGCGAGGGATGATAATTTACCTGTGTAGCCGTCTGCTACAGTGACTTGTCAATGTTGGAGGTGCATTCTTCTGTCTTTCATGCTGAACTACCTTTAACTGACAATGGACAGTCCCAGAGGCAGGATGAGTCTATTTCACAAATTTAGTGAAGGGAGGTTTGCATTTATATCTAAGTGGCTAGTACTTGCCTGGCTCGGAAGCCATGTTTCTTATATGTGGGTAAATTGGGTATTGTTTAGCTTGTTGCAAATGGTTTAGTTGGCTCTTAAGCTGTTATGCTCAACCTATACTATTGTGTGCAGGACTAATCAGCTTTACCTGTTAAAAGCGTTTAACACTGTTCCTTGTGGGGGCTTTTACTTTCCCTCTATATTAGTACATGTACTTATATTATTGAGAAATGCTGCTGTGACCAGACCCTATGCTGTCAACAGATATATAGGTTTGAAAATGAAGGTTCTATGTCAGATTATGAGATACACAAATATTCCTGGTGAAGTAGTGCCATGTTAATAAACTGTAGTCATATTTATTACAGGTATGTCACTACAAGAGTTATATCAGAGATGTAGAGAAGCGTTCTTGGTGAACAGTGATCTCACATTGCAGGCACAGCTTACAGAATTCAGGGACCATAAAATGATTAGATCTAAAAAGGTATGTAGATTTTCCCTTGGTCTGTAAGTAGATCACAGATAACTCTTTAATACCATCCTTTTTCAAGAATCCTTACAGTGGGGGGGGGGGGGTTCATGGCTAAGTTCTACACTTCGCATCACTTGCCCTTCATGTATGTGAGTGTGAATCCTATTAGAGACTTTAGAGTCATGTAAACATGAGACAGCTATGCGGTAAGTTTCTGCTGGTTCTACTAAGGTGCCAGCTTGTGTCTGAAATAATGCTCAGAGGGGCACCTGAAGTCTTGCTAGTCTCTTAGGTTTCAAGATCATGTATCATATCTTTTCCTACTTAGCTTGATAAGAAAATCTTCTAATCTTTAATCTAGGTGCCAATTGCATGATCGTTGGGCGATGTAAAATTTCTCTGTGACAATAGGACAATGAGTTTTGTGGTAATTTGTCTATCACTGCTTATTCAAAAATCATACATGATTAGTAGTCTCTCTGTCTCTTGTGAATTTATTGGTTATTACTTGTTAGTTATCCAGGAAACTTAGGTGTCCCAGCTGCTGAGATATGAGTCAAAATGTGTTAAAATCTCTATATCAACAACTCAAACTTAAAATCTTCTTTGAAAAACCCCAAATAGCTAGAGTTTAGATATTAAGCATGAAACACCTTCTAGTAATCAGCTCTTTAATTTAACAAAAATTGTTGTTCTGAATTTTGAAAATGTCACTTTTTGACTAAAATCTTAACTAAACAAGTGTATTATATAAGAAATAAAAACCATGTGCAAGGAAATGTTTTGCAAAATGAATCCATTTGTACTCTAATAAAACTTTTTCATATTAGAATTACTTATACTCTTAAACAATATGAAACTTCTTATTTAATAAACATTTTAAGTTTAAAAACGTAGCCCAATGTCAGGTGATAAGTAAATAGTTATTTTTATTTACTTAAATTGTAACTACATGTATAGTCATTCTTGTATATACTTTCAGAGTTTAGATGGTGTAGAACATTTACATATACCTATTGATGAGGGAACATTGAAGGAATTTGTTGATGAACACACTGATGACTGAGATAATGAAAAACTGAATGACACAAAAACACTGTGACAGTTGTGTGTCACAGACAAATTTGAGCCGCGTCACAACAAAACCAACATAATGGGTTTGCATCCGCGCAATCTGATCAGGATCCATGCTGTTCGCTATCAGTTTCTCTACTTGAAATAGGGTTTGTAAGCGAACAGCATGGATACTGATCAGACTGCGCGGATGTGCTGGTCGCAAACCCATTATGTTGGTTTTGTCATGACGTGGCTCAAATATTGTGACAGTTACATGTAATAGATCTGCTGTTACAGAAGGAAGGAATGACGAAACAAAATAATATGGCAAAATGATACAGAAATATGTCATATGCATGGTAGAAAATGTCCTTCAATTTATTGAATGTAAGAAATAAGTCCTTAGTATTTAAATTAGAGATTTGTGTAGAACAAAACATAACAAGAAAAACACTGATGTTACAACTTTGGTGCTACATGCTTATATTTGAACTTGACTATGTTGAATTTGTATATTACAGACATTCCCTACTTTAAATTTGGAATTGTCTAATGTTAATTTATTGGTTTCTATATAATAATAAAATATGAAAGTTAAGCATTGACACTGGGCATTCAATATACCCACTGAGATGTCACATATAAACTAAGATGCCATAAATACCTCACAGATGAATGATATAATGTTATTTAAAGACTTGTATATTGATACTAGAATTGTGTTCATAAGTTAAAACCAACTGTGTTCAATGAAGTGTGCAAAGCATATTGTTTAAAATCACCCAAAAGTTAAAAGAATTTAATCGCTTTAAGATTTTTAGCTCGACTATACTAAAGTATATGGAGAGCTGTCCTACTCGCCCCGGCGTCGGCGTCCGCGTCCAGATTTCAGATTAAAGTTTGGTGCAGTAAAATATTTTTCACTATAACTTTGTCATTTCTTAAGGTATCAACTTCAAACTTCAAATATATGTTCCTTATCATCAACCACATCTTATGTGACAAGGTTCACAACTCTAGCACCAATATTTTCAGATTTATCTCCCCTTGAACTTAGAATTTTCCTTAAAAAATACTATTCTTTACTGTAACTTCTTTATTTCTTAAGGGATCACCCTCATACTTCAAATAAATGTACCTTATCATCATCCCCATCTTATGTGACAAGGGTCATAACTTTAGCACCAATGTTTTTAAGATTTATCTCCCCTTGAACTTAGAATTTTTCTTAAAAATAATATTTTTTACTGTTACTTCTTTATTTCTTAAGGGATCACCCTCATACTTCAAATATATGTACCTTATCATCATCCCCATCTTATGTGACAAGGTTTGTAATTTAGCACCAATGTTTTTAAGATTTATCTCCCCTTGAACTTAGAATTTTCCTTAAAAAAATATTATTTTTTACTGTAACTTATTTATTTCTAAAGGGATCAACTTCATACTTCAAATATATGTACCTTATCATCATCCATATCTTATGTGACAAGGTTCAAAACTCTAGCACCAATATTATAAGAATTATCTCCCCATAAACTTAGATTTTTTTACTAGAAAAATGTTATTTTTTACTATAACTTTTTTAGTTTTAAAGGTATCTACTTCAAACTTCAAATACTTATTCCTTATCATCAATTACATTTTATGTGACAATGTTCATAACTCTTGAAGCAATTTTTACAGATTTATCTCTCTTTGAACTTAGGATTTTCTTTAAGAAATATTATAACTTCTTTACTTTTTAAGGTATCTACTTCAAACTTCAAATATATATTTCTTATCATAACACACATGTTGTGTGACAAGGTTCATAACTCTAGCGTGACTATTTCTAGAATTATTTCCCTTGATCTTGGAATTTATGTTAACATATGTTATTTTTTTACTATAACTTAATACATATTAATACATAATTGATTTTTCTTTCATAGTTTTGTCCTCCTTACTGCGTCCAGTATTTTATTAGTCGAGCTTGGCTGTCTCCTGTGACAGCTCTTGTTAAGTTTGTTCAAAATAGTTAAGCAGAAAATATGAAATTTAGTTTGAAAATGCTGAAATATAAACATTCTTGATTAAATATCCTTTAAATGATTTCATGAAATTGTATCATTAGAAATGATTTCTTCATGTGCCCACACTGATGGATAGATGATGGGGCCAAATTGATTTCTTTACTTTTTACTAAAGCCCTTAATTACATCTACAGCTCTTGTCAACTTTCAACACCTCCTTGGGATAAAAGCTTCATTAAGACATATCAAAATATAACCTTGATTCTGAATGACCTGGGCTTTTTTATCAAAGTTAATGAAAACTATGTAACTTATTTATTTATTGACATATTTTGGATGAGTATTTATTTATACTATTATAATGTTGATTTACTATAGGTGACATCAAGTTATAAGGCATTTATTTTATGTTAAAAATGAAATTTGTCATTACTTTGCAAATGAAATGAATTGAATGGAAAGACAAAAGAATTACTAGAAAGCGATTCCAAAACACACTTTGCTGTTGTACATGTACTGTATGTTGACATAATGATATTAAATTATTTGAAAATGAAATTTAAGAAAGAAATATTAGTTATTTTATTTGATATTTGGAAGAGCCTTTAAGAAACTTAAAGGGATAAAGGAATTCACTTTGAGTGTTATAGAAAATAAGCTAGGAATTTGAGTATGTCTGCAGGGCACCAGAAACGTATATAGGGAAAATATTTGTTGCTTGACCAATCGTAAAACTTGTACAGAAAATGGTGAAACAGTGGGTTTTTCAGGTGTTTAGTCAGGCAATATTAAGCTGCCCATTTTGCATACATTACACACCGGTGGTTTGGCGGGTGTGGTGCTTTTAGCTATAACACCTGAGATTGAAAATCGTCTTTATACTAACAAAAAAAGTAAAATAGTAGTGATCTCTCTGTCTTTAAAGTACACCTCAAAATGGACAGGTCATCAGCCGGACAATACACATGTAAATGAGACCTTAAACGTACAAGAAAAAGGAAAAAATATGTATTAATACCGGGAAGGGTTTAACTTGTTTATGGAAAGGAGTAAAAGTAAGTACATGTATTAGGAAATTGTGGTAATTTAGAGATATTTGGAAATGTAAATTGTTAGGCTGTAAGATAATTGTTGGATTAAGCTAGCTCTTGGAAGGTCTTGCTTAAACCAAAGTCCTTTTTGTACAAAAACTTTTGTAGAAATTAGGGGAGGTCATGTCACAACCGGTTAAGAAGGAAAATTTGCATATGTTAGCACTGACAAATAGCATTGAGCACTGGTGTCAGAATTTGGCACCAATGTCATAAAAGTTCATAATAGATATGAATGATTAAATTCGTACTGATTATCATCATCGTTATGTTTATAGGCAGTAAGCCAGAAATGAAATGACTAATATATAAAAACGATATTTAGAATTTTATTCTCAATGAATTTATCAACTAGTCCCATAGAAATCTTGCAAATTGTGATTCATGCATTCATAAATTGAATAATAAAACACGAAAATAAACTGTACAAAAATAATCAAAACATAAAAACACAAAATCCGGTAATAGAACGGTCAATTGGACAGAGTCTATACTGTCCCTAGTTGTTAAGTTCTGGAGATGGTGATATAAAAATGATCGTGTTCACAATGCCACATTAAGAAGCGCCCCTGAAACGATAAAAAATGTGTTAAGGTTAAATAGCAAGAAAAAATATTAATAAAGAGCGCAGGAAGCAACGTTGTATGAATTTAAGGCCTTACAAAATTCCAAATTACGATGCCAATTCTGACAAAGTCAAAACTTTTCAAGATAAATGCTTAACACCAGTATCTTACCCATAGCAGCTCAATGATGCATATTTGAACGATTGTTCACTCAGCTTATTAACGCAGTATCAAATGGTAATCTGTCACAGGGGTTTTATTATAATGAAAAGAAACAGGGGCCATAAAATGTACGGGTATATAAGTACCAGGACCCTTACCACCATAAATATCTTAAATGGACTAACATCTTCCAATTTGGAGAAACCATCGTATTCAGGAAATGTTTGTAAATATGTACTAGTTGAATACGATCAGACGGCACGGAGGTGCTGGCTGATATTTATTCTGCACTGGTAGCATGGGTATACCAGTGTACGATTGCCGTCAGCAGGCCTTTAGTTAAGGAACACTATAAAACTAGCCGTTTGACAAAGAAATTTATCCTGCTGTAGCATCATCATGAAACCCCTGTGTTACCTCAGTATTCTCATTTTGTACGATATGTATGTGCGATAAACTCTTGTTTCATAACCTTTTTATTCCGCGTTATTTACTTATGTACAAATGAAATGAACTTGCTGAAAAAATATGTAGATAAAATACAATGCACTTTCTACCATTGATGAAATTGTCATGTTTAAGCTGGGGATTAGATTAAGAGACAGACAAATTTAAGCTTTCACGTGACGTGGAAAAAAAAACCAATAAGTATGAACATGTAACATAAGGTTATGTTTAAGCATTTGTTAGAAATTTCATTGGCGGGAACGGGACTCTTTAGGAAAAAACTTACAAATTTCTGGCAAGGAACATTGTAGCCATGTCTCGTAAGCAACATCCGGTACCAAGAGCACTGCATTTAAGAAGATTCGGCATTGTGTACGTTCTCATGGAGATTATGTTACATATATCGGGCATATTACCACAAGGCACAAACGCAAGGTTTCGTGTGTTGCGGCATAAAAGTGCATTATTCATAGGGTTGCTCTCGCCTTGAGAGTTACCTCCCTGTGAAGTACCGCCTGCACCACCACCCCCTTGTGCGTTATTGTTACCACCTCCCATGTTATTCATTAGTTGCATCATCAAAAAGCTTTGTGGTAATTGGCCGACTGAAAATAATAAAATGAAATATATTTTATTATGCAAGCATAAAACTACCAATTATATTTTTTAACTGCCATAATAATATTTGAAAAGCTCGTAGATTGAGGCATAAAAGAATTGTTTCAATGACTGACCTTGCCATTATCATAGTTTGGGATGTAACTATATCACCAATGATCTATATCAACATATTCTCCGTGATCATAATCTTCATCACCATATCTCCGTCATTATAGTCTACATCACCATTTTAACATTACCACGATCTAAATCAACATAAAACTACATTTCCACGATCCTACATTACCACGATCCTACATTACCACGATCTACATCACCATAATACTACATTACCACTATCCTACATAACCAAGATCCTACATTACCACGATCTACATCACCATAATATTGCATTACCACGATCTACATCACCATAATACTACATTACCACGATCCTAGATTACCACGATCTACATCATCATCATCATACTATATTAACACGATCCTACATTACCACGATCCACATCACCATAATACTACATTACCACGATCATACATTACCACGAGCTACATCACCATACGCTTCGTTTTCTATATCTTTCTTTTATGATATATATTCATTATCGAGAGTCACTAATCACTGTATTCGGTTTTCGGTAAGGCTGCCTATCTTTGGTATTGAAAACGGCGGCTTATTGTTTACAAATATATGTGGCAGGGAAAACGACTGCTTATCTTTGATAGTGGAAACGACGGCGGAAACGACGATCAAATTATGAAAGTGGAACCGACGGCTTAATAATGACAGTGGAAACACGTCGTATCTAGAAGGCTTATCTATGACAGTGGAAACGACGGTTTATCTCTAACAGTGGAAACGACGGCTTATCTATGACAGTGGACACGACGACTTATCTATGACAGTGGAAACGACGGCTTATCTATGCCAGTGGACACGACGACTATTCTATGACAGTGGAAACGACGGCTTATCTATGACAGTGGAAACGACGGCTTTTTTATGACAGTGGAAACGACGACTTATCTATGACAGTGGAAACGACGGCTTATATCTAACAGTGGAAACGACGTCTTATCTATGAAAGTGGACACGACGACTTATCTATGACAGTGGAAACGATGGCATATCTCTGACAGTGGAAACGATGGCTTATAAATGACAGTGGAACGATCGTTTATCTATGACAGTGGATAAACGGTTTATCTTTGACAGTGGCTCGAAGGCTTATCTATGACAGTGGCTCGAAGGCTTATCTATGACAGTGGATCGACGGCTTATCTGTGACAGTGGAAACGGTGGGTTATCTTTGACAGTGGAAACGACTTCTTATTTATGACAGTGGAAACACCGACATATCTATGACAGTAGAAACGACGGTGTATCTAAGACATTCGAAGCGTCTGCCTCATTAAAAAAATGACACAGAAATACGTGTATTTTATGTTGAGATTAAAAATGAGATTTTACAGAAGTTATGTTATTATTCTAAGCAGGTAAATCACGGGAAATTTTAAGCATTATAAGTATAGCATATGTGTGTCACGCATTATAAATAAATGTCCAAAATTGTCATATTTTAAGCTGAAAACGGGGGCACAAAATAATATTTTCATATGTCTTAAGAAATTAAACGTGGCTGTGTGTGTGTGTGTTTTTTTTGTCTCCAATTTTAAATGCAAAGCAATGGACGTTTACTCTTTTCATGTGGTCTAAAAACTTAACAGAAGGTCCAAACACAGGAATATTTGAGCAATGTTTTTTAATGAAACAATGTGTTATTTATCCATGTTTATGTTGCGCTATATACAACTATTAAACGCTTCATAGCATTGTTGTATATATTAATTAAAGTTATTTTCTCGCAAACATTGTAACGTGTACGTTCGTCAAAGAACTTGTCAGCTTATGTCAACTTAACGTCCAAACTTTCTCAAATTTATGAGAAAAAGTAAATTTATGTCACCAGTTGTCACCTTGTAATACGTTTACGTTTTTTACCGTCTACTTCACTACTCGAGTTTTATCGTGTGTAAACAAATAATCAACAAATAAGTTATTTGTTTATCATTGTTTTCGGGGGTTTCATTTACTCTTTTGACGAAAATATGGTGTTAATTAACATAAAAAATGAATGTAATTTGTCATTATGGTATAGCCAGTGTTTTATAACGCAGCTTCTCAAAATTTATTTTCAGAATGTATTAACCGGAAATTAGGTGGTGTTTCGTGACATAGAGATCAAAAACGTACAGATTTGCTGTTTTCTGTGCATAAATGAAAACTTATCAACATGTAATAATTTGCTCCTTGTGTTAAATGTTTAATTCAATGTCTAATGAAAAGAAATGCTAGCATCTTTTCTTGTTGCTTAAGCATTTGTCCATGATCAGTCACTTTTAACCTTAAAGGCACGTTGAATTGAGGATATTGAATGAGTGTGAGTTCAATACTGAATTTATTGCACGAGTTGAATAAAATTATATTATGCGAGCCTCTGGCGAGCATAATATTATTTTATTCAACGAGTGCAATAAATTCAGTTATGAACTTGCACGAATTTAATATTCTATTTATCACATACCCTAAATAAAGACCGTTTAAAGTGAAATAAGAGTCATTTTTCACTGACGCGCCTATAGTATAACGCTAACATTTAGCGCGTCATTTCACTATGTTTGTATAACGCAAATGACGTCACGTCAAAATATATGCACGGCCGTGCAATACCATTTTTACGGAGTCGCTTAATCGGCACTGGTGTTTGATAAAAAAATTTACTTCTATAGAAAAAGCAAATATGCATTTTATAATGTTCAAATTATGGTTTTAGAAAAAGTGATAGATGTTTGTTACCTGGAGAAAGAAGCGATACATGTGAAATATTTTAACATAGAGGTGGCAAAATGTAAGCAAAGTAGAATTTTGACCTCCATATAAAATACTTATTACTTTTAACTGTATTTACTGTCAAAAACAACATATGGAAAAGATGGTCAAATAATAGGCCAATGAGTAACTTTTTGGATACTTTGAAGTACACCAAAATTAAAAAGCTTTTTGAGAATTAAGAAAATAATAAAAGCATTTCTGAGGCATACTGGGCCTTTAACCTGCTGGAAACAAAAGAGATTAGTTGCCATTAGTTTAGAGTCAGACCAGCCAGTACATTCGTGCAGTCTGACCAGGCTCTATACTGTTCATGTATCATTCTATAAACATTCCGTTTTCAAGAAATATTTCATACGAATATCCAGACGATTTATTTCTATTGTTTTTATCTATATTTGAAAAACTTACGAAAAATATGCCAATTGTAGACCAATTCACTTTAAACTTGAAATAAATTTTTCCTATGTCAAACCAGGGCAAATAAATTCATCACATATAATCAACAGGTTAAAGGGCTAAATAATGCTTAAGGTCAAAAATTTAACAATCTTTATTTTGATTTGTAGTCTTAAATATCTAAAAAGTCTGATCAGGATCCATGCTGTTCGGTATCAGTTTCTCTTCTTGCTATAGGGTTTGTAAGCGAACAGCATGGATCCTGATCAGACTGCGCGGATGCACAGGCTGGCCTGGATCCATGCTGGTCGCCAACGCACTATGTTGGTTTTTTCATGACGCGGCTCATTTGTTAAAAGTTAAAGGCACATTATGCCGTAGAAACGAATAAGTTTTTCTTTATTTAGAAAGGCCAAAACATATGTTTTATAATATTGTAATAATGAATAGATAACCTTAGAAATGCTAATTTCCTGAAGAAAATAGCACGACTGTGATTTTTGTTTTGTTATAAAAGACGCAAAATGTAAACAAATTGGTACTTTGACTTCCATACAAAATAGTTATTCACTGTAACGGTACTAATTGCCAAATGCAAAAGAAGCAAAGGGTGTCTCAGTTATATGGTCAATGAGTAACGTATTGGCAACTGTAACAAGGCACCGAACATAAAAAAATGAAAAGAAATGATTGCAAGTTTGAAGCTTTATTTGCCTTTAAGTTTAGTCCAGATTTAAGATGTTTTTAAAAACAGCGAGGTACAGGTAAAGCAATGAGCACTCGAATTATTGCCCCAGCCCCTCCCCCACTTCCCGACCTGCCATTTCCTTAAAGAAATTTATTTTTCACAATTTAATTTTATTTTTGTTTGTCCCTCTTTAATCTACTAATTTCCAGTCGCATAAGAATTAACAAATTATTATTTTCAAAATTTCACATTCATATTCCCATACAGAATTATTTTTAAATACTTTTGCTTTAAACATATTTTACAAGAAGTATTGATTTTTGTAAAATTATTTCGATAACTTCACAATCAATCTATGAAGCGCAAATTTAGATAAGGAAAACCGTTCTTTTTACATATACAATATGGTCGTACGCTAATTTTCTCTGTCAAGCTTCCGTATTAGAATAAAGAAATAATCAAAACATCCGTTCCATGTCATCGTACGTATATTTTGTTAGAAGTTAACCCTAAATGATTAGTTTTTGGGGAAAAAAAAACAACAACGAATTAACCGTTTTTGCATATAACGAAAAAATGCTATAATCACATCTAAAAGATCAACATTTTGAAAACAAATCTAATATGCTTACCGACAAGGCCTATAAGTGTTCCAAATATTATTAATTTAATCATATTTTTTGTGTGCACTGGAAGTTTTTTTTTCTAGTCCTGTTTTAAAATCCCTCGTTACCTCACTTCCGTTGTGCACGTTAAACTAAAATCTGATCTTGTAAACGTGGTGACGCTTGTCAACGTATTGCCACAGAGGCTGTCATACGTTAACGTTTAACGTGATAAATAACGTTACGTTATATATAGTTGATACGTGCTCGTTGATTGAGATTTTTTGTACCATGTGCTATTATACTGGCTGTGAATAGGTAATATGAATTATACAGTTTAATAGTATATTAATTCTGCTATGAAACATTACTTTTACTCAACAACTATAGACGGAGCATATATTTCAAGTTCTTTTTATTCACCTGTGTTAGGCCAATATTTCAGGAATTGTAGAACATTTAGATGTGATTAAATATTAATTGATCGGTCTTTAAAAAATATTTGATTGGAATTGTGATAACGTTATATAGCATTATAACATCCGCCGTTGATTTAAATAAATTTTGTTATACGTGAATGCAAAATGAGTTTGAAAAGATGAAGTACAAGGACAACAAAAAACATTTTGGCTTATTACACTAAGCTTTTGATCAAATTAATCATGTTTTATTTAGCAAACTATAATGATTTGATTATATTGAAGAGAAAAACTAAATAACCATAGAGGTTATTATTATTCAACAGTTTGAATTTTATATAACATAAGTATCGTGGGAGGGGTGGATGAAACTTATGCAAAAACACATATGCAAAAAGCATATTTCTGTTCATATATTTTGGTTCCTCGTATGTCAATCACCGGTATCCGTTACTTACGCGTAACTGACCATGTCAAAATGGCAGGTTTATAACAAAACTGACATGTCCGAACAATAAATCGGTGTTAAACGTGTCATTTTAACAACAACTATGATGCATAAATAAGTTTATTGATTCTTCTAAATCTATTTGTAGCGGTAAGTGACGTGTCATCTCAAATGAGTAACGTAAACATGTTATCCGCCTACAATACAAGTTCACCTGGGGAAAATGCATGCCAACTTGTAAAATATCACTAAAAACGTCCCTGTCTCATTAAAAGCTTCGCATAAAAAGCCTCTGTTACGTCCCATAGCACACCGTATTACCGGCGCCAGTGATAGCAGATCACTGCAGTGATGGCAGATAGCTGAAATTTACCGCTCGGTACAGGAAGGTTATAAATTTGGTTGGTATTATTATATATCACAAATACGGCCCATTTCATTGCTATGAAACTATTGTCCATTGACTGGAGATACTATTAGGTAATTTTGGACTCATTTTTCCTGGTTTTAGACTATTTTGAGCAGTTTAAAAGTGACAGCTTCGGAAAAATCCGTGAAAATGTCTGTTTTTTGTTCAAAATATCTCAAGTTTTAACTAAATGGCAGGATTTCGTGTTATTAATAAAGACGTTCATCCATTGGGGTCACGCAAGCCAAATATCTACCCCGAGTGTCTTTTCTTGAAAGTTTTACAGACGTTCAATCTGGTCCGGTCGAAGAAAATGCTGCCGTTGTAGGCAGATGCTGTCGTCATTGGCAGAAATACCATGAAAGTGGCTAACATTCTGACAGAAAATCAAGGTTAATCTTTTATCAATTCCTCTATTCTTTGCGACCTTTTAGTCGGAATTGAGACATTAAGCTATCATGTCTAATATTTTCTCAAGATAGAAAAGTTATTAATGCTGTATGTGCATCGAAAAAGCTTTTTAGCAACACGCAGTTACAATACAAAATGTGATGATTCAGTACGACCAAATTGCACTATAAATAGAGCAAATAACATGAAGAAATTTATTTTTCTATATTCATGCATGTGTGCTTGATCTGTCAGTTACATGCATACAATACCACATGTATCTTAAGTTTAGCAACGCATAATTCACTCCCTTTTCAAGACATAACGCCATTTGCATATTACAGCTGTAACTTCAGTAAGTGGATATTCATTTGCTAGCATATGACATTATTTTCTCGAGGTGATAATGTTCATCGCTTTATGACATATAAAGGCTGAAATTTACTTAGTCGGCATTATAAGTTACTAAATGGATGTAATATAGGGAAGATTATTAACCTTAACCGAGTCTGCAATTCTTATGTAATTTATAATAGTACCAACCAAATTTATAACCTACCTGTACCGAGCGGTAAATTTCAGCTATCTGCCATCACTGCAGTGATCTGCCATCACTGGCGCCGGTAATACGATGTGCATTGCCCAACGTGATTACTAACTTTGTAATTGTAATTTATTAAGTTGTAATTGTAATTTATTAAGTTGTAATTTATTAAGTTGTAATTGTATCATAGTTTGGGGACCTTTCTGTTGAAAATGTGTCAGAGTTAAACATATACATGCACAGTGCGTTAATTGGTTACTTTTTCCCGGGGTTTCACATTGTGACAACAGGGAACGTGTTCTTATGCTTGACTATGATACAAAAGAGAAAGAACATCAAAACACTCGGCAATCTGATTAATACTCGGGGACTACGCCCCCTCGTACAAATCAGATAGCCTCGTGTTTCGATGCTCTTTCTATTACTTGTATAAGTAATAAGTAGGTATAATAAGAAACGATTCAAACACGTTTGTAAACGATGCTAGTTATATATATGAGTATCATCTGGTCACTTGCTGGTTTCTACCGATGCGACCAATGCAGACTTAGATGATTCGGCACATCTTTGCCTTCCGATCATGGCAACAAAATGTCATATGTACAAATTTACAAATGTATTGTATAAAATGCAACTCGATCGCAATCTGTTGAATAAAATGCTATTTGTGTTGAATTTTGTTTTAAATGAAATGCCGAGTTGAATAAAATATTTTAAGATACCAGAGGTCATAACTATTTTAATAGGGACTTTTCGGGTGCTCCTTGTTTACCGTCGCGATACAATAACACGAAATAGTAAAAAAGTTCAAATTTGTTGAATGCTCAATAAAGGCAATTCGTTTATACCGTTTTGTACCTGTAAAACTGACCATAAAACCAATTAAATGTTTAATGCAAAAACATGCAAAAAATTCAGAAATGTATCTTACAAAACCGACAATAGTCTGTTATGACAGAATTTGACTTCAATGTGCAATGATGATTATATATGCCGACTTCCAATTTAATTATTATATCCAATACCATTTTATTGTGAAAAAAAACAACAACAAAAACAACAATAACAACAACAAAAACATAACTTAAAATGATAACAACAACAACAAAACAAAAGAGAAGAAGAACAACAAAAATATGATTTAAAAAGATAACAACAAGAAACCCCAACAAACAAGAAAACCTTCAAAACAACAAGTAAAAAGATATATACTATAAACAACAACAACCAAAACACAACAACAAAATGCATCATCACAGAAGTTAAATGCGTGTTTTAAGAGTCTATAATTGTTAAGGTGCCTGCCTCCCTACTCGATATATGTTCAGGATGTAAGAAGTGTCCAGTGAATTATGAATAGGGTGTAAGAAGTGATTTGTGAGAAGTGATTGGTGAAATATGTTTAGGATGTGATGTGAGAAGTAGAGTGTGATTATTATTTAGGATGGGAGAAGCGATTGGTGAATGTAGTAAGTGCTCGGTCAATTATGTCGGGTTCAAGTTCTACTGTGGTCACTACCATGTTTCCACTAATAATAACAGTACAAGTTGAGTTCTTGGAAGCTGATTCAATGGCGGTTCAAAATAAACCTAAAGCTTTCAACACAATAAAGCTAATATAAATATGTTTCTAATACATGTGACTTGTCATATAATACTTACACATTTGTAACAACTTAAGGTGGTAGGATATTCACATTTTAGGAATTTTTGATTAAGTAAGTTTATTATAATTATATGTAGAAATGAAATCTTGAGAATTATTGATAAAATAAAACGCGTATTTTTATTTTCTGTATTATAATATTCCACTGCAATGAAACATATTTTCCGTTTTTTTTTCAATGGTGTCTTGTATATAGGACTACTTTCTTCTAAATTCAGCAAATACACAACTTTTGAGTGGGAACCTTCCAAATCGCAAATGTCAAAAAAAAATGTATATAATAAAGGAGATATCTCATTTTAAACACTATTGCTGTTACATCTTTACATCAAAACTTTATCGAAAGGGCCACCGTGAAATAGAGCAGACATACTAAAATAATCTACACGTAACATTGTTTTCGTCTGATAAACTGATATCTGAATCTTAAATCTCGGTCAAGTAAGTTTAAATAAGATAATATTTTACATTGTAAATAAATATCAAATAAATTTCAATACATGATGTACTAAATACACCTCATCAATACACTGTTAATTAGTTTTTGCTCCACAATGCTTGTGTGTTTGCGTTTTCTGCCATTGTTTCTTAGTCTCATTTCGGTAACTTCCGGTGATGTTGTTGTGCAGACGAAGTATGGAAAGGTGAGAGGAAAACAAACCGATCAAACCAACTCTTTTCTTGGAATACCATACGCAAAACCACCTTTAAATGAATTACGGTAAGTGAATATCTTATCTATAACCAATCGTCACAATACAATAAAAATAAGCATTGTTGATATCGCATCCGGTGCTTCTTTCTGAAATTTCATTTTGCGAACAAAATACATGCAAACGGTATTTTAAATTTCGCTACATTTTAAACATTTCTTCTTCTTTTTTTTTCTGTGATAATTGGTTGGACTTTTTCGGTGACATTAGAACATTTATAAATGCTAAACAGTGTCCTGTTAATGTCGGGCTATTTCTGAAATTCTTATTCGTTATGTTAAGTAGAATTCATTACATGTAACCTCATAACCTGCCGAAAACCAAAGAGATTTATGTCTTTTCCACCAGTATAGACAGCTAGCCCGCGCATTCATGTAGTCTGACCATGCTCTATACTGTTGGTAGCTCCATCTTATTATTTTATTATTGAAAATCCTTGAATTATATTTGGAATGTACCAGAATCAAAGCAGTTCATTACACAGACTGATTTTAAATTTAAGGTTAATAGTACAAAGTATACCGATATATTATATAAATTTTACTCCGAAATTAATTCTATCTAAAACCTATCAAGTGGACCAACAAATACCATATTCATTAAAATTTATATATTTCTCTTTTCAGATGGCAGCCACCAGTGGAACCACCGGTCTGGACAGACGTGTATAATGCTACCGAGCTGAAACCTGGCTGTCCGCAACATGGATGTTTCTCTTCGAATCCATCATTTGTCTGTCCCAAAGAGGTTACCTTTCTTATCATAACCAATCTGAGAAGTGCATATTAAATTCCAACAGGGTCTTTCAAATACATGTAAATTATTTTAAATTTGAAAGACCCTGTGTCCAGTAAAGATCTGCATTGTCTTTCATTCATGACTTTTTAGCAATAAACTTCCATCAAATCGCCATGATCATAAATGGTAAATGGGATTCTCGCTTTTGTTAGTTGTCAAATATATTTTTTTACAGATAATATTGAGAGAATTGTCTTGTTTTACTGTCAAATATTTTTAAGGATTAGTTTAAAGTTAGAAGTACTTCCTTCAATGAACAGTCTGATTAAAGGGGATGACTTGACAAGATTGATAACTGTGGCCTGTACTGCAAAGTGGAAGTTTAAGTAGTGGATTTACAGTAAATGGACCAGATACAAGATTATTTAAAAGCAATGAAAATGCCATTAGTTAATAATAAATTCATTTGTGTTATCCTTTTTTTTTCTGTTTTGATATTTGTAGTTTTGAAATGGTACGTTTATACGCATTTTTGCGTAATGAAGCGTCATTTGTAAATTGAAACTCATTCTTGAATATTTGAAGTAATTGCTCAAGTTCCAAAACAAGGTGTTGTTACTTAAATATACATATACGTATACTAATAAATGAAATATGGTTATCTCCTCTGTTTTATTATTATACTTTAAACCCAATCAATTAAAAGACAAGTATCATATGAACGAAAAATGGTATATTCTTTATTCAAATCATTTTGTTTTAGACATCAGAGAGTTGTTTGTTCTTGAACGTGTATACACCTTCAAACTCTTCAACCTCCAACCTACTTCCGGTTATGGTTTACATTCATGGCGGGAACTTTGTGCATATAAGCGCCAGTAGTCCCATTTTCAAGGGAGATTATTTTGCAAGCAAAGGACAGGTGGTGCTAGTGACATTCGACTATAGATTAGGTTAGTAATAGATTAAAAAAATCAAACTACAATTTCTTAAAGTTGATACAAAAGTACCACAGTGGATAAACGCGACCATTTTCCTGAATTGATATTGTTGTTGTAAATGGTGTAAATGGCTTATTTCTTTACAGTGGGCCGCTCTGCAGAGCTTACACTGTACCATCTTTTCAATATTCCTTTTTAAAGATCAAAGAAAATCTTTATTCTTCGAAAAAGAAACGAGATCCTTTTCGATAATATAAACGTATGCATACAATCACAAAATATGTATTTTTGCTTATTAGGTGTATTAGGTTTCTTGTATACCGGTCCTAAATCAACCGATGCTGCTGGTAACTATGGTATCCGAGATCAAAGGCTTGCTCTGAATTGGGTTCAGGAAAACATCAAGTACTTCGGCGGAGATCAAACCAGGGTGACCCTTTTCGGTCAAAGTGCTGGAGGGCAGTCTATCCCGATACACCTGATGTCAAACGAAGCAGATAACCTCTTTAGGAACGTGATTATTGAGAGCGCACCGTTTGATATTCCCTTCAAGAATCCAGAGGAAGCTGTTTACCTTGCAAGTCTAGTTATGCGTTATATAAACTGTACAATGGACGACTATATGACGTGTTTACGGTAGGATAACTTTTAGATTTGTAATCATTACGGCATGGATCTTAATTATGATTAGTTTGCACATAAATCATATGTATTCACGGGCGTTTCCGTACCGGAAAAGATTTTTGCGCTTAAAATGCAAAATTACTCGTTTAAAATTCGTTTAAATGGATAATTTAGTCTCTGAACTTAGTTGACTTTTCCTCAATGAGAACACTGTCGCTTACTATCACTTGGGGATAATTTAATTCCAAAATTATTGAAAAGAAAATTACCGAATTGACATATCACGTATTTTCGCATTATGTGATTAAGTGTTGATACATTGTATATGTTTATGTATGTATGATTATGTGCCATGTCGTACTCTATTTTGTCTTCAACGGAAACAAACGGTTAGAATTCTATTAGACTAGTTCCATATTTCGATTATTTTTCAGAAATATTATACAGCCTTTGATAAACGAGCATCATAATATAATGAGATATTGATATTTGGCTGCTGCTCGCCATTATAGGACAATGGCTTTATATCCATAATGTCATTCGAGCCTGCGGCCCTCCGGTCATGATGGACATCTTCTGACCATTGTCGCATAATGTCGCATAATGTCATTCAGGCCTTCGGCCTCCAGTCATTATAGACATCTTTGGGCCATTGTCGCATAATGGCGAGCAGCAACCAAGCAACCTTCAATCAATCAAGAGAAGGAAAAGGCAATAATGACCAAGACAATAGGTTTATTTCCTGGTCATGGGAAATAACATTATTAAAAAGGAACAATATAAAATATTTCAACTAAGTTCTATCGAATAACATAATATGTTTACCTACATGTATATGATAATAGTTTGCTTTTGTGTCATTATCTAGGTCTAAAACCTCTGATGAGCTGGCCCAAGCCCAACTGGAAGCTAGAGCCAAACCTACCTCACTCAAAGTACTTGATTTTTTCGAACCTCTTGGTCCTTTTGTGGATGGCGATGTTGTTCCATATGAACCTGTCTACGCCATCCAGAATAACAAACTCAGAAAAGTTCCAGTTATGATAGGTACCATGACGGAAGAAGCTAGAATATTTGTTTACGAGGCATGGGGTAAGCCGGTGCCACCGTTAGAATACATTGGCGTGCTTGCAGCAACTTATCCGTCTCATGTGGAGCAAATGTTGAATATGTACCCGTTTGAAGGAGCGACCGACACAAGGGATAATATAACAAAACTAGGAACAGATTTTATCTTCACGTGTGCTTCAAGAAACATGAGCAGACATTTTTACAAAAATGGCCAAAATGTCTTCCGGTTCGAGTTCAATCAGTCGTTCTCGTTTAACGGGTGGGGTAATTTCTCATATTGTGAAGGTCATGTCTGTCACGGAGAAGAAATAGTGTATGTTTTCCACAGCGCTGATCAATCAGGGTTTAACTTCAACCACGAGGAAGAGATATTGTCCGATCAAATGATTGGGTATTGGACAAACTTTGCTTATACGTCTGATCCTAACAAAGGGCCACATTCTGTCAGTCTTCAATGGCCTCTTTATGATTCTGCATCCAAGATTATTAAATTTAAGGCGCCTAGTAATACTGTAATTGATAATTATTTAGAAAAGTATTGTGATTTTTGGGATACCATAGGATACAAAGCGTAGCTCTTACTTTACTCGAGGTCTTTCTCTACCAGAAAAGCTGCAAAGTCGCCACGTGACGTTATATTGTGTTAGTGCGACGTCAACCCACGTGAAGTAACATTGAATAAAGATATCTATATTTAAAATGCTAAATCTTGTTTCCTGCAAACCCGTTAATTGTTCGTTTACTGCCATCAAGACTCTAAAAGACTTTGTAAAAGTGATAAAAAAACGCCGAAAAGTTACAATTGAATTTGTTTGTTTCAAGCTACCTTATCATAAAATCATTGTATTCTCCCATGTCCTAAATAAACATTTCCCTTTCTTATTTGTTATTGCACCCATTCAATGATCTCTTCTGTATCGCTGGCTTTCATTACTTTTAGTGCTTTTGAATGCTCATAAATAAAATATCATACATTTGCATATTTTGCAGTGTCGCTCAAGAAAGAAACCTTTCTGAAAATAGTGAAATATGAATCCAAGGCTTAAAATTTAATGTATGGATTGCTAGTTAAAATGATCAGGGCCAAAATAAAAGAAATACTATAAAATTCACATAAAGTTTTCTATGTCATAATGATCAATGTAACAATTAAAGAAATGATAAAAAAAATTCACATAAAGTGTTCAATGTCAAAATGAAATAAATAATATAAATTAGGTACAAAAAGGTAATCGTAACTGTGTATACTATGTAACCTGTCCTCAAGCTTTTTTTAAACTCGGGGAAATTTTTTTTAAAAAAAAGAATTATTTTAGACCTCGGTTTTAGAAAACTAAAACACCTTTTTTTTTAAATGGTTGTTAAAGTTTAAAAATAAAAATAACATTTTTCACCCTTTTGCAATAACCCCCAAAAAAAACCACTGAATGTATTTTAAGTACACAAAAGTCAATTAATCTTCCTAACAGGTATGGTAAGTCATGCGCCTGCTTTTCAAACACGATAAGGTCATTTATTATGAGGCGTTAGATCAACACCTTTGACAAAAGAGTGAAAGTTAGTTTTTAACGCGAGGCGATGTGGTTATCGAATATGATGTTATTTCAACTGAAGAAAAAAAGTGATTCAGTCGTTTCTGATATATCTATGTTAAGAGTCATTCAGAACATTCTTCCCGGGTTATTAATACATCTGAACATGTCATGGCGTTGCTTTAATTTTATGTCACTTCCTTCTATGAAAAAAAAATGTATTAATGCAATTTCATATAAATACATGAAACTGCTTTGTTTATGAAATTATAGCGTATTTCTTATTAAGACTAACAAAACCACAAATATGCTCGCAAAGGTAATTCGAGTGAGTTATAGCATATATTCACCTTTCAGTGAAAGTTCAAGTGTAGCAACATTTACTTTGTTCGTTCAATTAATTTTAAAATATTGGATAAAATGAACCACAATACAGTGGGTGATGTATGTCAAACATATGTTAATTATGAAACTATGGACCTTGTTAATAAGTATAAAATAAAATATGCTAATTCGGATTAGGTTTTTTTAAAAAAAAAATTGATTATCCATTGTCCAGCTTAAAGTATTCTCAGACAATATAATGGCATAGGAACTTTTTTTGTATTTTACTTTTAGAACTGGGGAAAAATCCGTTTTAAATTTTATTCAATTTATTTCCCCTTTCTAATTTTTTACAAGCCGGGGAAATTGGTAGATTCATTTGTTTCACTCAAATAAAGCCCAAAACCCTTTCGAAAATAAAAAGGATGACACTCTCCTTTTGATCAAATGTTTAAAACACTATTATCCTGTTTATATTTAAATTTTTTTTAAATCTAAATTTTCTTTCTGTTTAAACCTTTTTTCATAAAATTTTTTTAACTAAAAAAGGTTAAAATTTAAACTTATACACTTTCCCTGAAAATTTTTCCCGACGGGCGTGTTTTTGTAACAATTCGTTGTATGATTAAAACTGATATATCCTTTACACATGACCTGCTGGAACCGGAAGTTATTAAATAGAGAAAAGAACCTAAAGAACGCCAAACACGGTAAAATCGAACGTGTTGCATGCTTGGTTTGATTGAGCCTGTTGCAACCATTATAGAGTCAGGACAGTCTCCACTGATTTTTGGCTGATTCACTTGAAATTTTCATCTCGATAAACACAAAATTGATCATGGGCAGTTCCTGAAATGGAAGCTGGAAATGTGATTTTCCATTTCCCAAAATTCAGCTGTTTTTGATGTATTTAGTCACAAGTTAAAAGAAAGGCAAGCGATGAAATATTTGTTAAATCTGGTACGTATGAGAAACTAGACCAAGACAATCAAATTACTCTAAAATTAGTCTCATTATCTCACGAACTTTTGTCATGTGTAAATAAAATTTATCGCACAATCTACGGTGCAGACGTATAAAGGCCTCAACAGACGGTAGGATTTTGAAGTACGACACCAATTAAAACTAAGATGTACAGGCAAATCTTTATGTGTAAGGCTACTATTTCTTGAATGCAGAATCCTTATGTCATGTCTAGATGTAAGGGATAGGACATGTTCTATTTTGATTATCTTGTCGTACAGATTTCTACAGACCCCACCCACAATGACAAGTAACATATTACCAAATTATCTCCTGATAATGTGTGTAATGAATGAAATTCCAGAACAATTAGGGCTAAAAGGTAAACATAGTAGTAAGATGGGGTAAAAATGATGTTGAAAAACTCTTCGGGAGACCCAAAGTTGAGTTAGGTTCGGTATTGAACTGTTTTCTAATTAGGGGAGGGGAGGTAGTTCGAAGGCTGCCGGATAGCTTAGTCAGTAGAGTCGCAGTATGGTATTTCGAGGGTCCCAGGTTTGAGTTTCTGTCAGGATTCACATTAAAAAAATTATGGAGGTGTTTCAATAATTACTCGTGGCGAAAAAAGTATTTAGTGAGTAAAGTATGTAAAGGATCAATTGGGAGGGATCCTTTTTTGTGAAACCTCAGATGATTCCTACCGTCTGAATGCAAGTGTTCTATAGCTTTGGAAAATTGTTTATTTTATCTCTAATTAGTGTTGTACATCTAAATCCTACCGTCTGTTGAGGCCTTAATGAAATATATAGACAGGACTGATTTTGAGAATTTGGCTACCTATAAGATGCTAGAGGCATTTTGTAGTACAAGTGGTATCTCGGTGTATTTTACCTATAAAGGTATGCTGAATCCGATAAAGGTGGATACCAAATTGAAAAACTTGATCTTGACCATTAAAATGGCAATTTAAAATAACCACTATAATGACAGCCAAATTTCTTTATCATAAATGAATGATATATCAAATAAAACTTTTAAGGAAAGGAAAAGCCTGAAATTTGTCACAAAGCATGTTTAGGTAAAAACAAATTAGACACCAAAACAGAATTAAAAAAACAAAACAAAAAAACAATCCAATATGGCCGAAAAATCCAAGATGGCAGACACTTTTCTATAGGTCAATATATTAGTAATATAGAAGTAATATTAAAGATAGTACTGAAAACTTTAAGGCATTTACGCAGCGAACACCACACTCTTTCCTGCCCTATCTGCTAATTATAGAGCTTTCAGGTATTTTATCTGGCACTCTATGCAAGCATATAGAGTGGCTACTCAGATGCCTACTTATATTTGCACAGCGTGCGTATGTGTGAGGGGGTTAAAACGTGTGCATGAAAAATATACATTAATTAAAGGCACCTTTCTCTGAGTACTCTTGGACTTTGGTGTACGTTTTTATGTTATCGGTCGTCGTCTTTGTTCTTCTGTTATCGGTTCTAGTCGCATTTCTCTGCCGTCTTCTTCTCCAATTGGTCGTGACTTTCGTTTTTCAGTTACTGGTCCTCATCGCAGTTCTCTTGTTGTTCTTCTGTGATCGGTCCTGGTCTCAGTTCTTTTGTTGTTAGATGTTCTGTTATCGGTTTTCGTCTCAGTTGTTCTGTTATCGGTTCTCGTCTTCGTTCTTCTGTCATCCGTTCTTGTCTCTATTCTTATGTAATCAGTCCTGGTCTCCGTTTTCTTGTTGTCAATTATTCTGTCATCGGTTCCCGTCTCTGTTATCAATCCCCGTCTTCATTCTTCTGTCATCAGTCATCGTCTATGTTATTCTGTTATCGGTCCTCGTCTATTTTTCTGTTATCAATGCTCGTCTTCGTTGTCTTGTTGTCAGTTCTTCTGTCCCTGTCCTGTTCTGTTATCGGTTCTGGTCTTCGTTTTTCTCGGTTCTTCTGTCATCGGTTCTCTTCTTTCTTCTTTAATCGGTCCTGGTCTCCCTTTTCTTGTTGTCAATTCTTATGTCATCGATTCCCGTCTCTGTTATCGATCACCGTTTTCATCCTTCTGTATTCATTTATCGTTTATGTTATTCTGTTATCGGTCTTCGTCTATATTTTTCTGTTAACAATGCTCGTCTCCTTTGTTTTGTTGTCAGTTCTTCTGTTATCGGTCCCTGTCATTGTTTGCTTGTTGTCAGTTCTGCTGTTATCGGTCCCTGTCACTGTTCTCTTGTTATCCGTCGACGTTACTGTTCGCCTGTTGTCAATTCTTCTGTTATCGGTCCCTGTCTCTGTCCCTATTTTATTGGTCGACGTCTTTATTCGCTTGTTGTTAGTTCTACTGTTATCAATCCCTGTCTCTGTTCTTCTGTTATCGGTCCTCGTCTCTGTTCGCTTGTTGTTAGTTCTGCTGTTATCGGTCTCTATCACTGTTCTTTTGTTATCGGTCGACATCACTGTTCGCTTGTTGTCAGTTCCTGTCTCTGTTCTTCTGTTATCGGTCCTCGTCTGTGGTCGCTTGTTGTCAGTTCCCCTGTTATCAGTCCCTGTCTCTGTTCTTCTGTTATCGGTCCCCGTCTCTGTTCGCTTGTTGTTTTTTCTTGTCTGCGTTCTTCCTTCTTTTATCGGTCGTGGTCTTCGGTCTTGTACTTTCGGTACTTGTATTCTGTTCCGTTAAGGTCTTCTCTTGTATCTATTCTTGTCGTCATTCTGAGTCTATGTCCTGGTTTTGTCAGTCTTGTAGTCATTTTTTCGTTTAGTGGAGTAGCGGGGGATCGAACTCACGACCCCTTGATTTGTAGGCAGACAGTGTTACCACTGCACCATAGCGCCCGCTCTGAATAATAACCATTTTTGAAAACCCTTTATACATTAAATACTATTTCAATGGCTAACAAAGGGTGTATTACAATTATATTTTAACACCTCTATTATGTAGCTAAACCACGTGACTTTTATATATGGTCAAAGAAAGTATTACTCCATTTTTTACAAGTATTATTTTTATAGATAACTTTGCTGTTACTTTAAGATATCCTGGAAATTTATTGGAGGGTACCCGGAATTC